TTCCTTTGGGATAATTTGGAAATCAAACGTAACTTGCTCCATCCAAAAACTTCCTTGCGACATGAGCTTTATTTTCAATATTATTTGCTCCAAACGAAATGCCACCGACCAAGAAAAATGCTGGTCATTTTGGCAGAGACTAGACACTTGAAAGCATTAAACAACGGCACTATTAGTCTGGAATAACGTTCTAAAAAACGACGTTAAAGTCTTTGATTTATGTTCAAGATGCAAGCCTGGCAATGGAATAGGAAAATATCCATTGAAAGGCTTTCAGTAAGATGCCACTGCATGGCCATAGATATATGTGGGTCTCCTACTGGGCTAATGAAAGGGGTTTAACGTCCTACTCTTCGGCGCCGACTGGGCTAACGAAGACGGGCTTACTGGGCAAAGAAGTCCGATCTCCTATAACAGAAAGTGGAAATGAGTACATTATGGTAGTATGAGATTACTATACGAAATGGGTAGAAGCCCTTACAATTCCAAAGCATTGTGATAATCTTTTTGTAGATAGATTTGTCTGCCCGAGGCAAATTCACAATGACCAGGGACGAGAATTTGAACCTTCCTTATATTCTACTATGTGGGAAATCCACAATCCGACTGTTTTGCTGAACGATTCTACCGTACTCTAAAAGAATTATTGTCCGTTCTCTCCCTGGCCGATAGGAGTTCTGTACAAACATCCATTCAGTGTTTACCGAATTTATTTATGTTGGGGAGGAAATTATCTTGCCAATTCGATATTATGTATGGAACTCCCCTGGAACAATATGACATGTGTCAAATCGAATAGGAAATATCACGAACTAATTTTTCATCATCCTAGGTCAGTGCTTATGTGGAGACTTAACCTCTCCCCCAAATTCTTAAATCTAACCTAACCTTATAATCTCACCAACAATCACGTGCCCTAAACTTATTTACATATCACCGACCTATGATTTCCATGTAGAATTCCGTAAAGGCACGGCTCGTGTTAACCTGTGGAAATGTTTAAACCAAGGCTGCAGGGATATTCTTATCTACCTCCAAAATTTAATAAAGACATTGACCACCCCCCACACACACACACACAAAACTAGGACGCACCGTTGAAACCTTTAAACTTCCTGATAACGTACGATAGGTTCCTATGTTAGGGTTTACGATTTGAACAAATCAAACTGGCTTGCGGAGAACTAGTAGTAATGCAAAAATTGGAGTAAAGTATACATCTAATTTATGATCTCTCGGAAACAAATACTGAACCAAAATTAAAGGTCTTGACAATCAATTAACTTTCCTTTGGGATAATTGGGAAATCAAACGCAACTTGCTCCATCCAAAAACTTCACTGCGACATGAGCTTTATTTTCAATATTATTTGCTCCAAACGAAATGCCACCTACCAAGAAAAATGCTGGTCATTTTGGCAGAGACTAGACACTTGAAAGCATTAAACAGCGGCATTATTAGTCTGGAATAACGTTCTAAAAAACGACGTTAAAGTCTTTGATTTATGTTCAAGATGCAAGCCTGGCAATGGAATAGGAAAATATCCATTGAAAGGCTTTCAGTAAGATGCCACTGCATGGCCATAGATATATGTGGGTCTCCTACTGGGCTAATGAAAGGGGTTTAACGTCCTACTCTTCGGCGCCGACTGGGCTAACGAAGACGGGCTTACTGGGCAAAGAAGTCGGATCTCCTATAACAGAAAGTGGAAATGAGTACATTATGGTAGTATGAGATTACTATACGAAATGGGTAAAAGCCCTTACAATTCCAAAGCATTGTGATAATCTTTTTGTAGATAGATTTGTCTGCCCGAGTCAAATTCACACTGACCAGGGACGAGAATTTGAACCTTCCTTATATTCTACCATGTGGGAAATCCACAATCCGACTGTTTTGCTGAACGATTCTACCGTACTCTAAAAGAATTTCAAGTTTCACGATAACCGGATTACAATTGTGGCACCTAGAGGGTCCACAACCATGATATACCATATATTTACACTATTTGCGTACGAGGGGCGTCCACTAGTCCGGCAATTTTGGACCGATTTTTACGCAATTCGAACTCAGCCATCATTAGGGTGTAACGGTGATATATTCAAACGTTTTTTATTTTAAATTGGATACAAATTGTTACCTCTAGGGTGACCACAAGCTAAACATGTGACTTCTCGTACCATCAAGGGGCATAACCCATGTAGTTATAGTCCGATATATGCCAATATCGAGATCTTTGGGAGATAGTCCGTTTTAGTGAAGACGGCGGGATGAGATGGGAATGCAATCTACATTATATCAGCTTATCTTTTAAACCACGATCTTATCATTAACCAGCTCGAAGCAATTTGCATTAAAGTGCATTTTAAAAACAATAAGTTTTTAATAGGTTCATTTTATCGCCAATAATCCGCTGCTAAATTTAAAGTTTAGCAAGCTAAACTAGCGGCTGCCAGGCAGGATACGCCCACATTTTGCAGGAGATGGATAGAGAACAAGCTAAACAAAAAGCTATTTTTCGTACAACCCAGGGCCATAATTCAGGAAGGTATGGTCAGAGTTCCGATATGCGTGAATATTGAAAGGGCCCAAGATCTTTGGGTAATAAATATGTATTTCAAGTTTCACGATAACCGGATTACAATTGTGGCACCTAGAGGGTCCACAACCATGATATACCATATATTTACACTATTTGCGTACGAGCGGCGTCCATTTAGTCCGGCAATTTTTACGCAATTCGAACTCAGCCATCATTAGGGTGTAACGGTGATATATTCAAACGTTTTTTATTTTAAATTGGATACAAATTGTTACCTCTAGGGTGACCACAAGCTAAACACGAGACTTCTCGTACCATCAAGGGGGATTACCCATGTAGTTATAGTCCGATATATGCCAATATCGAGATCTTTGGGAGATAGACCTATATTTTAAGTTTCGTCAAAATCGAATAAAACTTGTGACCTGCAGAGTCTCCACAAACAAATTATGGGCGGATGTCCGGACATGGGCAACCACAATATACGTCCACGTGAAAATATGGGCGCATAAAAACCCATTGGTTTAATAGAACCAAATGGAATTAAAAGAATTTGAACACTATAGGACTAACGAATTTATAAATATTTTTAAATGGGATAATAAATTCTTTTAAATCAATGTCCACGTAAATTAACTTTACATCTTTCAGAAATATTAGAAAGTAGCAGCAAATCCTTTCTTCTAAACAAAGTTGTCAAAGATCTCTTCTGGATGAATGCACATATCAGAAAACAAAAGGTAATACTCGGTGGTCAGAGTTTTTTTGCTTCCTGGATACAACATGGTTCAACTTGAGGTCCTAATATACGCGAAAAATAACTATAATATACTATTCAAAAAAAGTAGGGGATATTTGATTTTTAAGTGTTATTAAAGTCACCTAATGAAACTGACGAAGAAACAAATGATAAAATGAAATGAAGTTCACATTCATCGATTTATTCCAAATGATCGTTAGACTAAGTAAGGCACAGACTGACCATTATAAGGGTAAAATGATACCCGGGGTCAAACAGCAAAGTTACCACAGCATCACAACCAAGTCAGTAACGGGTAAATCCTCCTCTGTTTGCCAAACAAGCATTGATCCGACGTGGCATACTCCTAATGAGACGTCTAAGGTCATTTTGGTCCAGATTGTCCCATTCCTGTTGCAACGCAGCAGCAAGTTCTTGGACATTGGCAGGACGTTGTTGACGTTGACGTAACCTCTGTCCAAGCATGTCCCAGACATGCTCGATGGGGGAGAGGTCGGGACTCAGTGCTGGCCAAGGTAATGTGGTGATGTTCTGTTGTTGGAGGTAACCTGGACCATAGCCTGCTTATGACAGACTGAGAAACATTCATCGTCCGCGCCACAACCGCCTGTGTTGTGCCGATCTGTAGCATACCAAAGGCACGTAACCTTTCATTTTGGGTAAGCCGACGCATATCAAAATTTGTTTTCTGGTCACTAAAACAATTAAACTGATGTTTCCACCCTGGAATTCAATGCCACAATGACTGTAACATTCAAAGTCAGAGTCGTGCAAATCTTGGGTTGGACCCCCATGATGATCCCAAGCATCACTTGCATTCCATGCGGTAGCTATTGGTGCGTTTGGGCGTCACATGTAACTGGAAATGTTTCTTCTGTTAGGTTCTATAGTGACTTTTTTCGTAGTCATTTGCATATTTTAGTATTATGCCCCCAAAATCAAATATCCCCTACTTTTTTTGAATAGTATATAACACAACACAGTTCTATGGATATATCCAGTCGTCAAACTGCTCAGCGATCAATGTCTATGGAAGCGATTCCACATAAGCAACAATGCTAATTTTTGTATCCATACACAGCATGTAAACATATCACTCATTAATCGTTAAGTAATGAAACGTGGTATAAATCGACATGGTATACTGTTCGAAAGCTGACTAATTATCATACCAATATGCATCAAGCAATATTGATACATTGTATTGTTACGTCGTAGAAAGGTCTGAGATCTGTGCAAAAGTGAATAATTAAGATTCATAACTGTGTATATGGCAAAGACTTATCACAAAATTTCTGAAGCCGCACGACTTTCACATTGTAGTCACATTCTAGATTGTTATCAAATTAAAACAGTGGTCCAGATATACCAAAACGTATGGTTATCATTATCAGGCTGGGCTACTTGTATTCATGGAAGATATCGTGAAGGGGAGATGACTGGGTATTTCTTGCATATGTAACAAGGTCAAGTCTACTATTTCAATCTGCAAAATACGCGTGCGTACTTTAACCATAAAATGCAAATGATTATAGCATGATAATGTCTGCGCCCAGCCCATTTGTGGGTAATACCTTCTGGTCCAACTCTTATCGTCAGGTGAGAAAAAAATGCATTAACCCCGTTCCAATGGTCCATTTCCAGATAATAACATTATAAAAAGATGTGACCTAATAACAACCTTCATTTCTTATTCTGACAGAATGGAAGGATTGTTAGCAGTTGTGCTTTGTTTGATAGTTGCAGGTTTGTAGTTTTTTGCAAGTGATCTGCTCACTAACGTTGTGTTAAATTGTATCAGTACCTTGGGTGTTACATATCCTTGTTTCAATAATTTCTTTTTTTTTTAAATCCTTGGTTAGGTGTTAAATGTCCCTGTCGCACTAGTTTATAGTATATAGAGCGATAGTTTTAATTCAGATTTCTTCAGCCGGAGCCACTAGAAAACCATCTGGGGATTCAGAACAAGTTCCCACTTTTTAAGTATACGATACAACACATTTGTTTAGCTTTTCCCTCCTCAAAGAGAAATGATAGTGTTCTTGAAAAAGAAATATGCTAGCATTCAGATAATAAGCTTTGAAACAAGGTCTATAAGATCAGACAATTTAACCCAATTTCAGATCATTCCATTTTTCATGATGAAAACGTCATGTTGACGGGTGTTAAACGATTCTTTGAGACGTGGTGGGATTAATTAACTTCTTATCATGTCACCTTGACAAATTCATGTAATGTCTGTTGTCTTGTAAAGCAATTTGTACAGGAAGCTAATCTAGCATTACGCAATAGCCAGCGGTGTAATCATCTTGACGTCTGACAAGGACCAAGGGTATAAAGAAGCGGTTTGGAAGTACGTTAAGATCAGAACTCCGACAACAATGAGCCTAACCAGTGCTCACTCAAGACAAGCTAACTAGGAGACGACCACTGTCAAGATTGGTCGCATTATTTCTGTTACGTCCTTTTTGTATTCCTGATTGTTTTCAAATTTGAGTGAAGTCTGTGTCACTACAGGCCCGGGACTGTACAGCGCAGTGGACGCTTACGGCTGGCTCCCGGATACATTCACTCGATTTGATATTTGTTTATTTAGTGCAATGTCTATTTTCGGTCTTGTCCGCGGGTTTATCTTGTAGATTTTTGTTTTACGCGTAGTGCGGTCCTCCTGCACTTACTATTAAGTATAGTTGGGAATTGGTTTTGAGTCTACTCCAGAGCGCCTAAGCAGTGCTCACTCAAGCTAAGAAGTCATTAAGTATAGTCCGAAATAGATTTTGAGTCCAGGCCAGGGCGCCTAACCAGGGCTCACTCAAGCTAAGAAGTCATTAAGTATAGTTGGAAATACGTTTTGAGTCCAAGCCAGAGCACCTAACCTGGGCTCACTCAAGCTAACTAAGAAGTCATTAACTAAGGAATCATTAGCTAAGGAGTCTTGTACATATGTTTGGATGTATAATACAAATACAATATGAAGGTAAACCAGTGTTATTAAGACCCCGATTAAACGAATCAATGTTATAACATGGGCTAACCTCCGTCCATTAATAATTTGTTTTGTTTTATAAATTATAGTATCTACCGCGCCGGGTCCGTCGCAATGGATTACCGCGGGTAATTGTGGTATTTCTTCTGGACGTGCACCAGATCCGTTTATCGTTGGTGGAGATGAAGTCAGTCCCATGTATAAATGGCCATGGATTGTAAGTCGTTAGTTTATTAAATCATATTTAAAGTCATTCGTCCGTTCAAAATTTCTGATAGATATCTTAGTTGTGAGGGATTTTATGTGCCAAATATTTGCATATATATATATATATATATATATAAGTCATAATGGAATGGGGTTTAACGTCCTAGGTTTCTGCTCATAGTGGGCTAATAAACACGAGCTACACCATACAGTGCTATGAGGGAGGAAATTTCTCACGCGCAGCGGCACTGTGGTCTACTTTTATTTCGAATTTCAACTGCCAAAGAGTTCTTTTACGTGCACACCAATGTGTTAAGGAGACTAGGTTTTTTATGTCCACATCCGAACGGCTTTTACGTTGTCCCTTGCCAGGCCCTCCGTCCTACTTCACTGAAAAGTGTGGGGGGGGGGTGAACTTTATCAGGTAACGCAGAGATCAAACCGGGACCTCCACCTTGGCGAGCCAATATCCTGCTTATTAAGTCACAGTGGCCCCCAAATCTTACTGACTTTAATAACCATAACCTTAAAATCAATATTAACAAACTGATTTTAGATCTTTTCCCAAAATGGCTGTACTTGTTAGATTTTATTTAGTCATGGTCGTCTTCAATTTTAAAGGTAAATGTCAATTATTTGCAGTGTTCTTGCATTCCACATTTTATGACATTTCGTTTTGAAATTTGCCGAGATTGGTCAAAAGTTCTATAGTCTTCTTTAGCCCAATCGGTGCAGAACAGGAGACCGTTAAACACCTTTTCATTTCACCTCAAATGGTCTGATGAGTCCGAGCCACATTAAGACACGAACAAGAACGGATTTAAGCAGGTGGACCTATGTTTTCGGTGGTTGGCAAACTATGTCCAATATTCTCATTGGCCAAAAGTGAAAGGAGTTGTTCATATCTCGCATAGCCACTTTTTTTTACTACTTTTGAGGTTAAATTCAGATCAGATTGTTTTTGATATTTGTTTTAGATCCAAAAATAATATTTAACTGCTGTGTTCTTTCCAAATGTTAGTGATGAGACGAGCACTTTTCGATATAACGTACTGTGGGGTAAATAATTTAACCAATATAACAAACCTGGACGAGATAAATCAAAGAACATTATATTTCTGATCTGGCTCTGAGGCGAATTGTCTTTTTAATAGTTTTATAAAATATTGAGGTGTCTTTTTAATAGTTTTATAAAATATTGAGGTATATTTTGTTAGGGAAGTCTCAGAAGCTCTGGTAGTCATATATGTGGCGGTTCCTTGATAAAAAACACGGCTGGTAGATATTTCTTCGTTACAGCAGCACATTGCACGTAAGTAGAAAATTATATATACTAAATACATCCTATATATTTATCAAATTAATAGAAAGAAAAGCGACCATAATAAATGCATTGGCTATTGACTCAGGAGAGCCACGGTGACTCAGTGAGTAAGACGTCACGTGCTCGATCCAGGTGTTGACCGAGACAGTTCGCTGGATTTCCCAACCTTGTTCCCAGCGTTGCAGGATGGAGGACCTTTCAAAGGACACCGTATCGTCGTTCTGGTGGTACGAAAAACCGAGTGAGGTTGGATGGCCGAATGGTTAGCACGTGCGCGCTGTATCATAAAGCCTGTCATTGAGTCAGCTGGCGTGGTTTCGAATCCCCGGTTGTATGTGACAAGGAGTAGGGTCGCCAGTCCAACCTCGTGGGTTTTCTCTAGGTCCTCCGGTTTCCTCCCACTGCTAAAGACCCCTAAGTGCAAGCGAATTATTGAAATAAAATTAAACCATATGTTAGTCCCGAAATGACCTAGTTTGTGTGGAGTGGATGTTAAAACCCGTTTTCTCTCTCTCTCTCTCACGAAAAACCGAGATCTCGTGTACACATTGCGATGCACTTAAGGGAAACCATGGCAGTTGCAATGCGAAATAAGAGTATGCTGTAGAGTCTCTGCCAGGGTAAAATTGCCCTCATAGCACACTGTAAGGGATACCCCATTCTGCATTAGCGCAGCCGTTGCCAGAACAGCAGGACGTTAAACTCCTTTTCATCTTTTTTCCACATTGCCTCAATGAATCCGTCATGCAATGTTACAATACTTTTCTTAGTCAAATTTCATATGGTGTTGGTTCGAGAAAATTCATCGGGATTTTCCAGCGTGGTTTCCTCTTGTCAGTGGTGCAGGACGGAGGGCCTGACAAGGACAGTTGTCTAGTCGTTCGGATGGAATGAAACACCGAGGTCCCGTGTATACATTGGCGTGTACGTAAAAGATCCAGCGTTGCAGGACGGAGGACCTTTCTTGGACATCGAATCGTCGTTCGGGTGGTACGAAACACTGAGGCCCCGTGTACACATTGGGGTGCAGTTGAAAATCGATATAAGAGTAGGCTTCAGCGCCGGTGTCCTGGCAAAAATGTCCCTCATAGCACACTGTATGGCGTATGCCCGTCTTCATTAGCCCAGTCGGAGCCGAACAGTAGGACGTTAAACCCAATTTCATTACATATGGATTGATATAATTGCAGCTATGGGTCCAACGCTAACCGATTGTCTGTAAAACTAGGAACACATTTCCGAGCTGACGTTTCAGAAGGTGGAAGCATGATCTTAAACGTTAACAGTATTATCAACAACCCAAATTATAGATCAACCACCCTAGAGAACGACATTTCAATCCTGATTCTTACAAACAGCGAGTTTATTGTGGAATCAAACCAGATTCGTCCCATCTGTTATGCCAGTAGAGATCATTACGCTGGGGAAGTATGCACTGTAATTGGTTGGGGAACAACCACAGAATCGGGTAAGCACCTTGTTACAATACCAATTTGTTGGTCCTGGGAACTAACCATGAATTGACGGGGTTGAGATACTGGGCTCAACAGAAGGGGGGGGGGGTCTTACAAATGGACTCCCGAGACGATTTTACTGGGCAACCTTTTACGAGCAGCGGTAATACCACAACTGATGAAAACTAGTCATATGTTTGCAGCTTTATTTGGGAAAGGTGGAATAAGGCTGAATATAGATAGGTTTCTCACGACCACGATGCGCGACACCAAATTTGAAAAAAAAATCCGTCAAAAACCATAGCTCCTATCGCTCAAAAAGGGTTTCGGCAAGGTCGGGGAGCTGAATGTCGTTATGATTCATTCCCCCATCACCCGAAATGCTTCACACCAAAGTTTTAAATATTCCGTTAAAAAAAACTGTAGCCTATATTGCTTTCACAAGCCAGTTGTTGCATAACGGACGGACAGTGGGACGACTATATACGCTCAAACTACTTGCCGGTGTATAAAACGCAGGCTTGTAAAATCGGAATTTCTATCCATTTGGGGCCGGGTGGCTGAATGGTTTAATGCGTGCGCTTTAGATTATAAGGTCTGTCATTGAGTCAAGTGGCGTGGTTTCCGCGCTTGTACGGTCGATACCATCCTCTTCTATACAACCGACGAAAGGGAATTGTTGAAATACAATTGAACCAAGTGTTAGTCCTGATTGTCCTATTGGGCGTTAAACTCCACAGCCCCTCGCTTTCCCCCTCTCTGTTTATACACATATGCTAGTACATAGGATGCTACTAGACCGACTCTTAAGATAGTGGTAGGTAAATCCTCCACTCCCCAGGGCCGGTTGGCGAATGCTACTTTGTCTAGTTACCACAAGTTTAGTGGTGTAGCTACATTTTTATTAGTGGAGTTTGTCAACAAACGAATTAGCTCGGGATATTAGCTGTTACAGCCCATGACAAAATTATGTATTGTATTTTGGAATCCTATTAACTTTATCCCCGAGTACTACAGTAACAGCATGTCAACTACTGTTAAGTTAGCCTTTAATATAAACCAAACATTGAAAAACAACAAGCAGATGCTAATTGATAAAACAGTAATAGGTAATATCTCTTGATTTCCACGGGGATCACGTGGCTACGGTAGTAAGACGCTGGCTCGCTAGCCTGGCGGTCGGGTGTTCGATCCCTGCATTGGCCGAGAAAGTTCATCCAGATTTTCCGGCGTGGTTTCCCCTTGTCAGTGATGCAGGACGGAGGGCCTGACAAGGACAGCTGTCTAGTCCTTCGGGTGATACGAAAAACCGAGGTCCCGTGTATATATTGGAATGCACGTAAAAGATTCCCTGGCAGTTGGAATTCGATATAAGAGCAAGCCGTAGCGTCGCTGCCCGGGCAAAATTTCCCTCATAGCACACTGTATGGCGTATGCCCGTCTTCATTAGCCCAGTAAAGGAGCAGAACAGTAGGACGTTAAACCCCATTTCATTTCATTTCTTGATTTCCACAGGTACGTCAGCTGCTCGATTACAAGAAGCTTCTAAACCTATTTTATCCGATTCTCAATGTTCTTCTGATCTTGGTTCTAACAGTTACTACTCTAACTCTATGCTTTGTTCTGGTTATGCTGCTGGTGGAGTAGATGCCTGCCAGGTAAGAATAAAACTAGAATCATAATTTAAAGAATAGTATAAACTCATCGAATTCGCTATGACAATACCCAATCTGTATTCAGATAAACGACTCCATGGAATCTATTCTACGTGCACATGATGTCTGGGACCGTGTAAATTTACATCTCCGCCTTTCGAAGAAAGCAGGGGACTATCAAAATGGGTTCGTCCGTCTGTCTGTCCGTCACACTTTTTGGGACACAATAACTTTCTTCTAATTGAGCTAGAATGTTCAAACTTGGTGTAAGGGTTTATGAGGTCAATGCCTTGATGAGTTCGAAGATGAACATTTTCTGCTTAGGGTAAGCAGCGATAAGTAATTTGACCGGTTGATGTTTTGGGACACGATAACTTTAGTTCTAATTAAGTGAGAGTGATGGAACTTGGTGTATAGTTTCATTACATCAATGCCTTCACTAAGTTCGATAATGAGCATTCTCTGCCCCGGGTAAGCAGAGCGATAAGCAATTTGATTGGCTGAGGCTTTGGAATTCAATAACTCTCCTTCTAATTGAGTTAAAATGTTCACATTTGTCATAGTTGTTTATTAGGTGAATGCCTTGATGGAGTTCGAAGATGAGAATTTTCTGCTTAGGGTAAGCATAGATAAGCAGTTTGATTGGTTGATGTTTTGGGACACGATAACTTTAGTCCTAATCCAGAGAGAGTGAGGACACTTGGTGTATAGTTTGATCACATCAATACCTTGACTAAGTTCGATATTGAGCATTTTCTGTTCAAGGTAAGCAGAGCGATAAGCAATTTGATTCGTCAAACATAATAACTCTCCTTCTAATTGATGCTCAAACTTGGTGGTTTTCATTAGGTGAATACCTAGATGGAGTTCGATGATAACCATTGTCTGCTTACTATAAGCAGAGATAAGCAACCTGTTTGGTTGATGCTTTGGGGCACGATAGCTTTGGTTATAATTAAGTGAGAGTGATGAAACTCCAAGTATAGATTCATTATATCATTACCCGTACGTACGTAACTAACGTACGAAAATTAAATGGTAGCTAGCGCGGGTCTGTCGTTCAGATTGATCATTACCTTGACTAAGGAACGACCGGCAATTTGATTGCTTTTAATTGAGGTAGAATGTTAAAACTTGGTATAGATGTTCATTAAGTTCAATGATTAACATTTCGTGCTAAAGCTAAGCAATTTCATTGGGACAAGACAACTTTTGTTCTATCTAATAGAGAGTGGTGAAGCTTAGTGTATAGTTAATAAAGTTAATAATCAGTTGGATTGCTTGATACTTTTGAAAAAAATAAATGTGCGATTAATTAATATGTGTCATCTATTTATTTTGGGATTTCGGCGGGGCGGAGGACATCAGCCTCAGTGTTGGCTTGTTAACTTTATATGGATTTTATATTACCGGAGATGACTTCAAATATATGGATTTTTTTAATAATTATGTTAGTTTCAAAATCACGGTATACAGAGTTGAACTCGAGATACGTCATAGTCCTGAGAGGTATGGGATGCTGCTCTGGATATTAAGATGTTATTTTAACCTAAAGGGCAATTAAACGTTTACCTTAAACGCTACAATACTAAGTTAAATTTCAGACAAATTCCAAACTACTGAATTTCTTTCTTTTTGCAGGGTGACAGTGGAGGACCATTTTTCTGTCAACGAAATGGTGTATGGGAACTCGTTGGTAAGAATTATTGAAATACTGAAATTTCAGCGTCATTTACGTTATGAAATTTGACATGATATAATTGTGAGCCAGCATGCAGCGCGGATTCCATGTCGGCCGTATATGCCGGTCATGACTGGGGGCTATGGGAAATGCCCGAAACTGGATCTGACCCATCGGCCATTTAGCACGCCGGAAAATAGCATATCTTTCAAAACCAAATTCTCAAACATGACTACGGTGGACTTCCTTCATGAAACTATAAAATTCTATGACTTGTACATAATGTTGCAATATCGCTTCTGGCCTGGTGTTTAGCAAGAAGAGACATATATATCCTGTATTTTAATATCTTTTTGTATTTTAGGTATTGTAAGCTGGGGCTATGGGTGTGCCCGACCTGGTAGACCAGGGGTTTACGGTGATTGCTGGAATTTAAGAGATTGGGTTAGACAGACCATCAACTCCAACTAAATATTAAAACATTCACTGGATAAAGATTTCTATATCTTTTTTCACACTTTACCAGTCGTTCTGTTTTATTTAACGGACGGCGGATTGTTTAAAACCTTGCTCCAACCAAAACTGTCGCTTCTAGATTTGGTCAAAACGGACATAACATTTAGTCAAAACTAGAGTAGTTTGGACATAACGGCAATAAAACCCATCGATTAAATATTTAAAATATAAATATTTAATATATTAAATATATTCTTAAAAAAGAGAAACGCACATCCCATTTTTCATCATTTTTTTTATTTGAACGGGAACCTTGTTTCCATAAATCTTACTTGTTTTTAATGTCATCATGTAAGGATAAAAGAAATTCATTATTGGTTTAAATGTAGGGTCTCTCATTGTGTCTAGTCATACTTTTTGTCGAAATTTTTTTCGCTTGATTGCACCAAGGCACAGGAGTTTAACATCTTCGCAAGCTTTTCGCATTAAACCCAAATATAAGGCTATTTAAAATCAGTTGCATATGTAAACACTCAACGAGCCAAGTAATGCCCACATCTGAACGAAGACCAACGCAATAACGCTATTGGTCGGTTACAAGCAGGTGAATCCCAGACAGATGTAGCCAGACTGCTGAATGGTTCCCAGACCCAGAGTACCATTTCTCGCCTTTGTGATAGGTACCGACAGCGAAGTTTCAACACGTGACCGCCTAAGCTTGTGAGCCCACCTGCTCGTCACATCCGGTTACGTCATTTGCGGAAACGGTTCACAACAGCGACCTCTACTGCAGCAGTAATTCCTGGACGGTGTAGGATCTCAGACTAGACAGTCCGTAGATGCCTACGTGAAACCAGATTACGAGCCAGACGTCCCGTTAGAGCTATTGTTTTGAAATACGCCGACACCGTCAAATAAGACATGAATGGGCTCAGAAACACGGGGTATGGCCACAGCAACGCTGGAGAACAGTTTGGTTCAGCGACGAGGGGATGATAGAGCCAGGGTATACCGTCGACGAAATGTAACTATGCGTTTCTTTTTTTGAAGAGTATATAAAAACCTTGCTGGATACAATAGAGATTAGCAATGATACAGCATACATTAGTAAATATAACGTGTCTCTCTCCCTGATAATATCTACTACGTCGTTAACACATTTCATCGCGTGCATTTTGCATACCGATAGTTCATTGGCCAATCACGCTATTTTACCGACATTTCGCCTAATAGTTTGGATGCAGCTATGGCGGGTGTGGCGCCGGGCAGGGTAAGCTTACTCTTCCGGACACCTGTTACCACTGTTTGTCGTGTAATTTGTACACGAGGAGCAGTCCATTTGCTGATTACACTATTTTGCTTGAATACACTATTTTGCCTATAACGTTTTTTAGGACTTCGAATTCTGTCTTATGGTTTGGATTGTTCGTACTTGGTTTTATTTTATTTTATAGAACATAATCCGATCAAAGGCTCTGGACACGTCCTGCCAGTTAATGATTTCCTCATCTGTATTTTCATCAACTGGATGAACATTCTTATTTATCACCCTTACCTTTCCTTTCACCTGCAGCATAATGATGCACTTGATCACTAATAGGGAGATTCGATAATTATGATTGACTTAATTCCTGATAGCGTATATTATCAACCCGATTGGTGGAGAGAAGAGGGACCCCAAACACCATTCAGTTCATTATATTTATTTTATAGTCGTCACTTAAACTTACAACATTTCCACTTTTATTAGTCTAATTTGAGCACAAAGACACGTATTAATATAACTTGAGCACAATGGACACTGGTATTAATCTGACTTGAGCACAATGGACACTGGTATTAATCTAACTTGAGCACAATGGACACTGGTATTGGTCTAACTTGAACACAATGGACAATGGTATAAATCTAACTTGAGCTCGTTGGACACTGATATTAATCTAACTTGAGCATAATGGACACTGCTATTAGTCTGAAGTATAAATGGAAACCCTTTTGTAAAATTTTTAGATTAGCAAAGATTACTCACGTCCTGATATCGAAACCATAATTCACATTGAAACAAATTCAGGAGTTTTATAAACTTTGTGGAATTTAAAATACTTATTTAAAAAATAAAACTAGCACAGACAATAGTGATTAGCAATGCTACAGCACAAAATATAGAACATAATTCGATCAAATGCTCTCGACACGTCCCGCCAGTTAATGATTTCCTCATCTATATTTTCATCAACTGCATGAACATTGTTAGTTTTGATACCCCGTCTTCTGGTCTTGCCCAACCAATGGTAAACTCCTTCCCTAGGCACCGATCCCGAACGGTGATAAAGCGAGACAGCTCCAACAGAAGCCACAACAGATACAACCTTCAAACATAACATTATGCAGACGTAGACGCCTAAAATACTAATGTTTTCTGAAATGGAAAATGGAAACAGGTAGTGAAATCTTTTCTCCAGATTCAGCCGGAACTAGGAAAACAACAGGATTCAAAATCGCTAAAAGACAGATTGGTAAAATGATGGTCAGTACGTAATATAATGGATATCTTGATAACGAAATCCGGAGTGTTATCTGTTTTTGCGTGTTACCATGTAGAAATTTTTCAGTGGTCCAACTATTCTTCAGCTTCCATGTACCACTTGCTTCATACGGAATTGGATTTTCATTACCGCTCTTTAAAAGCCTGACCCCCCCCCCCCCCTTGCTTGCCCATTGTATCAAATCAATGGAACAAGTCTGAGTGTCGAACGGGAATTTTCCAAGGTTCATCTTACAGAGTGTTTCGGTTGTTTTTCCTAGGTACCAAATTACTGTACCGTTGTTGTAAACAGAGAGTATGTAATCTCCAGGCGTTAAGATACCGGACTTATAGATAGACTATTATCAATGTATAAATCTGGAACCCAAATTCGTTTAGCTGGAATGGCAATGTGCTCAATCTCTTCATAATCGGTCTTATTCCATACCAAAAGATCGTCTTTCCAAGTTAACATTATCCAAATTGACGCTACTAATGTCTGCGAAGATGATTCTAATTTCCTGATAGATTGTAAGGAGAGTGGAATATCAACATTCACAGCGTTTATTATGGGTCTCACTTTTGTACTGTAGTTGTCAAATATTTTCTTGTGCAATCTATTTAGAACGGTATCGGTGCAAGATGAAAATCCTATGAAACACAATATTAACAAAGTTAGTAACATGTCTGCAAGAGAATGGACATACGCCTGTTCTAAAAAAATTATGCGTACTACTTTGTAACTGACTGGATTATTCCCTGGTTTTATGATTTAGGTATTGATTTATTAATAGCCATTATATAATGAACAAGGTAAACACTATCCGAATGTATGAACACAGTAATATCTGTATAAATATTGAGGAGATGTAATTAAATAATGAATGTAAAATTGTTTAATAACACATTAGTTTGATGCAGATTTCGAGATCTAGATACATAAAACACCATCTGATCTAATAGTATTGGATGAAAACTGAAGCCAAATCGATAAATTTGTGGATATAGTGTATTTAGACTTATTATGTCGTCACCCATGTCGGTCAAGCAGGACAAGATAACTTTGATTTTAACTGGTCGAGTGCGAGACATTAAATAATATATTGAAATCTATATATTACGCAATGTCTTGCACAAGGCCATTAAACAACTTAAAATGACACTATCCAGCGAGTGCGTTTCAATGAAATACGTAGCGGGTCCAATATTTCAACAAGTGTAAATAATGTACGCTTGGCACATTGTCCGTACCATTATTGAAGTAATGGTACACTACCTCAAAGGATGACGTCGGTCAAGCAGGACAAGATAACTTTGATTTTAACTGGTCGAGTGCGAGACATTAAATACTATATTGAAATCTTACTATTACGCAATGTCTTGCACAAGGCCATTAAACAATTTAAAATGACACTATCCAGCGAGTGCGTTTCAATGAAATACGTAGCGGGTCCAATATTTCAACTAGTGTAAATAATGTACGCTTGGCACATTGTCCGTACCACTGAAATAATGGTACACTACCTCAAAGGATGACGTCACATCTGTATTTTAGTAAGATAAAGAACTTGACGTTCAATCTATAATATTTCAAAAATAGATAATTCTATTCAAATTACTCTAGTCTTGAATACCGGTCGTTGAAGTGTTGGCAACATAGTAGCGATTGTCAAGTACCAGCAAACGATTTTAAAAGGTTTCGATTATCAAGTCTAATGTTAACGTATTGTAGTGAACTGGATAGAGCGGATTACTGTGGTAGAGTGGGCCCAGCTCTATCCGTTAGTTCTGTTGAGAGTTCACCACTGTAGAGGTGTAGGAGTAGGCAACCAAGCAGCTGGCTCAGAAAGACTAATACCAGATTAATCAGCAACTCTCTTTATTATACTCAAAATATACACTTGTCGAGCTCTCGAATCGCGCTCCTAGCAACGGCTCTCAAAATGTCTCTCTCCTCAGAGCTCTAATCTTAACGCTCCTACACGTACTCTATAACGCTCCTAAAAGAGCTCTCTGTATCGCTCCTAAAATGACTCTTTGTATCGCTCCTAAAAAGACTCTTTGTATCGCTCCCTATAAGCTGGGGTCAAACTGGTCAGTGAAATCGACTGGAGAATGGTCTCTGTCTTACCTCTGCTAACACAACTTCACTGCTACTGGTCAAGACATGGTTCTACATACCCTAGATCACGTGACATAACCACGTGGTATAAGACACACATACTGTTCCTGCCAATCATAAGCACGTGCAGCAAAGACGGATATACGAAAATACATTTACAATATAAATGAATATATGGGCTACATAATAACATAGTTCTTAAAAATGGACAATTAAATTAAATAATTACTAACGGAAAACAATAAGAGAACTAAGTCGTATAAATTGAGGACGTGGATCGGGCTATGAACGTGCGTTTAAGATCGCCACAGTATAACATATATAAGAACCATAACGTGCGTTTCAGATCGCCACAGTATAACATATATAAGAACCATCCGATGGCCAGGAGAGTTATACAATAATTTGTATAATATCTGAAGCTAGCAAAAGGACATGCAATAGACGTAAGTCTTACATAATGCACCATTAACCTGTCAACAGTTAAATGAATAGTCGTTTATATTTCAACACGAAGTTTGTTGGTTTTGGTTGTTTGTAATTTACGGAAAATGTCAAATTTTAAACGGCTTAATGCAGGTTAAATCTACTCAAACTGATTTTAAACATTTAATTAAGCAATCAGAATAAAAAGCTGGAAATGAAATGAAATGTGGGTTAAACATTCTTATTTTCTACACCCACTGACCTAACGAGACAGGCATATGTTATGCAGGGCGACGGCTAGTTTAAAACCAATCTGATTAAAACGCAGATCATATTTTGTTTCTTTTTTTATAGTTCAAAATTTCGTTTTACTTGTCTTTACTACACTAGGATCTGGAAGAGTTATTATATTACCAGCGTTTTGGTTGAAGTGATGGTTAAGCCAATGAAACGGTCTGTTACAGCGACTTCCTGGCGTACCATGCACGGAACTGTGGGTAAACTACTAGAAACGTCAACGCTGATTAATCAATGTCTGACGTCATAGGGTTAAAAGTCGCTCGTACGACCTCTGACACGACCTTAAAGTACAACTTGCCAGATCTTCATGTAGTAGGCCATCGAAAGTATAAAGAAACGAAACGAAATATAGATCTGTACTTTAATCAGATGGTTTCAAACATTTGGTCAAAACGGACATCACATTTAGTCAAAACTTGAATAATTTGGACAAAACGGCAATAAAAAACGATCGATTAAATACTTAATGAATTAAATATGAAATAAAACCCTTGCTGGATTTCAGATACTTATTTATATATAAAGCTAGCATAAATAATAGAGATTAGCAATACTGCAGTACACAGAACATAATCCGATCAAAAGCTCTGGACCAGTTCTGCCAGGTAATGAACATTTTTGATTAATAATAATAATATGTCCATTTATAAAGCGCTTTATCACCCAATAATACATTCTACAGTAGATATCGCTTGTGTGATATATTTCATAATCTACTTCGATATCTCCTTAGGAGATATCGCTTTACATGAATTTGATTGGTCAGTTGAAAAGGAACTACTTTTTTTTATTTTCAAAGAACAGTTCATTTTTTTTATTAAGAGTAACTTTTTTTTAATTAAAAATGAACTATTCTTATTCAGTTGACCTTGATGGAAACACTGGGTCAATATAAAGGACTTTGCAATGTTTGAATTGCTGTCAAAAAATGATGTATCACTACACCGTAATGTTCAGTAAAAATGAAATCTACAGCAAAGAATTATATTTATCTATTTATGCATGTAAGAAGGGATTGGGTGATAAATAAAATCTCCTACTCGTCTTTTTTGATATCAAAAAATATCAACACTCGTTGATAAAGTAATAAAAAACACGGCAGAGCCTCGTTTTTTGTTACTTTATCAACTTGACAATGTGTTGATATTTTTTGATATCAAAAAAGACGAGTTGGAGATTCTCTATTCGCCCATGTATCTGTTATCAGTCGGCACTTCAGCCAGTTATATAGAGGTATGTCTCGTGTTTTCCTTTGGCGTTCGTCACTTCCGATTCGCGAATCCTGTATTACTCAGCTATCGTATCAATGATCTCTGAGTTAAAATTATATTTGGAACGTGATGAATTAGTTCTATCACATATGTGATAATGACTGGCACCAATATTGTCCTTTAATCTAACTTGAATACAATGGACACTGGTATTAATCTAACTTGAGCACAATGGACACTGGTATTAATCTAATTTGAACACAATTGACACTGGCATTAATCTAAAGTATAAAATGGTAAACCTTTTGTAAAGTTTTAAGATTAGCAAAGATTACTCACCTCCTGACATCGAAACCATAACTAAATGTTGCATAAACAAAATTCACATTGACACAAATTCAGGAATTGTATAAACTTTGCTGGATTTAAAATACTTATTTAAAAAATAAAACTAGCACAGACAATAGAGATTAGCAATGCTACTGAGCACATTAGATAGAACATAATCCGATCACATGCTCTGGACACATCCTGCCAGCTAATGATTTCCTCATCTGTATTTCCACCAACTACATGAACATTGTTAGTTTTGATACCCCGTCTTCCGGTCTTGCCCAACCAATGGTAAACTCCTTCCCTAGGCACCGATCCCGAACGGTGATAAAGCGAGACAGCTCCAACAGAAGCCACAACAGATACAACCTTCAAACATAACATTGTGCAGACGTAGACGCCTAAAATACTGATGTTTTCTGAAACTTCCGGTAACAATTCTGATAGCGCAGAAAGGGTGACAGAATAGGCCAGGAGAATGGAAACAGGTAGTGAAATCTTTTCTCCAGATTCAGCCGGAACTAGGAAAACAACAGGATTCAAAATCGCTAAAAGACAGATTGGTAAAATGGTAGTCAGTACGTAAAATAATGGATATCTTGATAAAGAAATCTGGAGTGTTATTTGTATTTGCGTGTTACCATATAGAAATTTTTCAGTGGTCAAACTATTCTCCAGCTTCCATGTACCACTTGGTTCAAACAGAATCGGACCTATATTATCGCTCTTTAAAAGCCTGACCTCCGACGCCTTGCTTGCCCATTGTATCAAATCAATGGAACAAGTCTGTGTATCGAACGGAAATTTTCCAAGGTTCATCTTACAGCGTGTTTCGGTTGTTTTTCCTAGGTACCAAATTACTGTACCGTTGTTGTCAACAGAAAGTATGTAATCTCCAGGCGTTAAGATGCCGGACTCTATAGATATACTATTATCAATGTATAAATCTGGAACCCATACCCTTTTAGCTGGAATGGCAATGTGCTCAATCTCTTCATAATCGGTCTTATTCCATACCAAAAGATCGTCTTTCCAAATTAACATTATCCAAATTGACGCTACTAGTGTCTCCGAAGATGATTCTAATTTCCTGATAGATTGTAAGGAAAGCACAACATCAACATTCACAGCAGCTGATGCGTTTACTATGGGTCTCACATCGGGCCTGTAGTTGTCAAATAATTTCTTGTGCAATCTATTTAGAACGGTATCGGTGCAAGATGAAAATCCTATGAAACACAATATTAACAAAGTTAGTAACATGTCTGCAAGAGAATGGACATACGCCTGTTCTAACAAACTTATGCGTACTACTTTGTAACTGACTGGATTATTCCCTGGTTTTATGTTTAGGTATTGATTTATTAATAGCCATTATATAATGAACAAAGTAAACACTATCCGAATATATAAACACAGTAATATCTGTATAAATATTGAGGAGATGTAATTAATTAATTGAATGTAATATCGTTTAATAACACATTAGTTTGATGCAGATTTCGAGATCTAGATACATAAAACACCTTCTGATCCAATTGTATTCGATTGAAAACTGAAGCCAAATCGATATTAATTAATGTGTTTGTAATTGATGAATTTATGATACAGTGGTGCAATTATGCTATGCTGAGAAACATATTGAAAATGTTATTTTAGCAGACAGCTAAAGTGTCAATAATTGTGCTTAATTTGTGGATATATTGTGTTTAAGCTTATTATGTCGTCACCCATGTGGGTCAACAAACTGACTCGTAAACGCCATAGAGACAGCAGTGTAGTGTTTTAACTTTATTTTCAAACTGCATGTAAAGCTTTGGGGTTATGAGAGGATGAGCCCTATCTATTTTCAGTCTAGGATCCCCATTTCTTTTTGTCGAAATCGGATTAATATTTTTATGGTTATGTCCGTACGATGAAATGTTGCTGAAGCCTTCAGGAAAAATGCTTTGTGATGGGAGCGAGAGAGAGGGGGGGGGGGGGTTAACGTCCACTCGACACAAACTAGGTCAATTCGTGACTAACATATGGTTTAATTTTATTTCAATAATTCGCTTGCGCGTAGGGGTCTTTAACAGTGGTAGGAAGCCGGAGGAAACCCACGAGGTTGGACAGGCTACCTTACTCCTTGTTGCCTTATGATACAGCGCGCATGCAGTACTATGTACAATAATCAGCTACTTTAAACGCCGCGGCGTCAGTGGTGCAAGACGGGGGCCTTACAAAGAACAGTGTCTAGTCGTTCGGATTGGACGCCAAACCGAGGCCCTGTGTACACATTGGTGTGCACGTAAAAAAAAGCCTTGGTAATTGGAATTCGAAAATGAGTAGGCCGTTAAACCCCATGTCTCCCCCTCTCCCTCCCTCTGTGACAAATAAATCCATAGAGAGAGAGGGAGAAATGGGGTTTAACGTCCACTCGACGTTAAACAGGTCATTTCGGGACTAACATATGGTTTGATTTTATTTCAATAATTCGCTTGCCCGTAGGGTTCTTTAGCAATGGGAGGAAACCGGAGGACCCGGAGAAAACCCACGAAGTTGTACAGGCGACTCTACTCCTTGTCTTGTACAACCGGGGAATCGAAACCACGTCAGTTGACTCAATGACAAACCTTATGGCACAGTGCACACGTGCTAACCATTCGGCCATCCAACCCCCAAATAAATCCATAATATATAGATTTGCTTTCACAATTACAGTGACATTGTCACCTTAGAAACACCCTTTGTAGTAAAACACCTTTGGCGACGACATTGAATAATCGAATCACCATGTAGCTAATATATCACTCTCTATAAGTAACTCTACGTTATTACCAGACTAAAGATAAGTTGCCAGGCAACGAATCATAACCCCACAGCAACAATGTCGTCCGAAAGGTTCACATGGAAGATCGTTAGGCGGTATAATAGCATTGCTAATATTCAATAGGCATCTTTATTTCACTAATTTAAATAATTTATGAAGGTCTTTCCCGCATTTGAAAGAGTAAGTCCATTTTACCTAGTGTAACATCCCGTAACTGTTGTAATATAAAACCTAGCACACAAGCAGCCCTTTTTTTGCCCAAAGACAGTAGTTTTTATAAACCTACATTTCAGGGTAGGCGCATTATATCGTCACTTGTAAACGCAATATAGGCTATAGTTTTTAACTGATTATTTTCAAATTTGGGTGCAAGCATTCGGTCATGAGATATTCAGCCTTCCGTGACTTTCTGCCCCATAGTTTTTTCCGTCCCTGAGGTATCCCCCTTTTGCCGAAACCCTGTGAATTTTTCGCGAGTTATGTCCCATTTTCCCAAAAACATTGTGAACACGACAGAGGCTGTAATTTGAAATAGATTCTTTTCAAATTTGGTGAGAAGCATTGAGGTTGTGACAGGGCAAACTCTATCCCCCTTAAAGGCTACATTTTTTACCATATTTTATTCATATTTGGTGTGCAGGATCATTTGGATCATGAGATTAAACACTTTACCGAAAATCTTGCGAGCGCCATAGATGTAACAGTTTTTAACATTTTGTTTTAATGCATTCCTTACCAAATATGGTCAACATCCAAGTTTTCTGTTCGGGAAAGCTGCTGTGTGGCTATCTTTGTATTTGAGAAACTACAATCGCACTTTGCAATGTGCGCGTAAGATTGAAGAAACAATAATATTTTTACCAAATTTTACTTAAACCAAATATTAAAATACAATAAAAACATGATATAAACAAACAAAAAAATACTCTTTAAAATTAAATAGAATGGAATTGTGTACAATATTATTAACAATATAATAACAACAAAAATATTTATTGAAATAGATTGGAATGTATCAAGTCTGAAGTTGGTTAATCTCAATTCGATTAAAGTTGCAATTTCATATTTTTAAGTTATATTTTTAAAATTTATTGAAATAAAGCCTTAAAATAGATGGTATCCATAAACAGTCCTACCTTGTTAAAAAATAATCCTATTAATCCTATAATTCACTATTGCCAGTTGAGAAATTGGCAAAAATATCATTTTGCTCTTCATTTTCAAACGTTGAAAAAAGCTACTCCATGGTGGAGATAGAAAACAAGGGAGGTAATTGTGTTATTATTTCCTGTGTAAATGGGTTGTAAGTGTGAGAATGACACCTATGATCGTATAATTGTGAGTTGACAACCTATTGAGCAAAAGACATAGAAATAATTACGTTTTGACTTTCTTAGAAAATTTGCAAAATATCCAATTTGCATATTGGTCAGCCTATCGAATTGCAGTATTTCTTAAAATTTCGATTGTATCTTAGTTAAAGTTTTCGTGAATAAGGGCCCAGGGCCCTGATTAAATAAATGTGTTTTAAGTTGTTTTTTAAAAAAGAATATAGAGATGTGCAACATTTTAAACTAAATGGTTGATTTTTTTATAAAACAGGTGCTTGATGATTAAAAGGGCGTTGAAAGTAGTTTATCTGATGTACGTAATGTTCGGTCAGGTGTATAAAGTTCTAAAAGATCGGAGAGGTAAACAGGAGCTAATTTTTTTTATGAAAGTACACGATTCAAGTTCCAGAATTTTGAAATACAAATCTCCATCCAGTTGAAAGAGAGAGAGAAATGGGGTTTAACGTCCATTCGACAAAAGGTAGGTCATTTCGGGACTAACACATGGTTCAATTTTTATTTCTATAATTCACTTGCGCGTAGGGGTCTTTAGCAGTGGGAGGAAACCAGAGGACCGTGAGAAAACCAACGAGGTTGGACAGGCGACGGGCGACCCTACTCCTTGTCACGTACAACCGGGAAATCGAAATCACTCCAGTTTACTCAATGACAAACCTTATGATATAGTGCGCAAGTGCTAACCATTCGGCCATCCACCCCCAACCCCCCACCCCGCCCGCACACCACTCCCCCCTCCAGTTGAAGCTATAGAACATACGTTACATCACAGAACATACACCACCAGTACTTTATGTCCTAAATCAAGAGTAAACTTTCGATAATCCATTACTGAGCGGCGACTTCGTATCGGAGAGAACGGCCTTACCCCTTTTCCACCAAACATGTAGACCGATTCTAATAAATCTTTCAACATGGCGGCTCTAACACTAAAATTACTCGGGCTCACCACCAATACGTCACAGCTTGTCAAAATAATTTGGTCTAAAATGGCGGTTTCAAATCCTAGACACGCCCCTTTACTCCAACGTTGTCTGTCTATATGGATTATTTTCCCGCCAGTATCAAAATATCTTGGACCAAAAGTTTTCCTGGCAGAAACACGAACTTCTTCATTATCCGTAGCAATAAATATTTTACTGGAATTTTCAAAAGTATGTAAAAATGTCCACAATTTGTCAATGCTGGAAATATTAACACGGGGCGGGTCGTTTGGTAAATTTTTACTTTTACCAATTCTAAGATGAGCACACACTAACTGATGAGTACGATTGTTCAAGTCTACATTTCCCGACATTTCCTTCAGATGTTCGATAATATGTTGTGATGGTTTCATGAGATGTTTCCAAACCCGTCTGAAAACAATGGCTCGGGAAACCCCATGAACATATTTGGGCATTTGTTTCGGAAACAATTTTCTTATATGCATAGATGCGTCTGAATTTATTTTAATTTTAATCACATCTTCGGTGTTGGTTCCGTTATAGTCCAGTCTGGGCGGCCCGGCGCCCATAGAATCGATTGTTTTAGTTGTCCGGTTAACTAAGTCTTGAGGTGGGATTATCCAGTTCGTTTGGTTTGGTTGCATAAATCTCTTAAAGTCACACGGTGACGTCATTTCTATGCCAAATGTTCTGTTGTAGGCTAAAGACATTAAATAAACAGTTACAATTCCACGCTGTCGATCACCCCACCCTCCGCACCACCGTCGATCATTACACAAATAAATTAGATATTTCTTCCTTTTATTTGTTTGATTTGTAGCCTCTTTGGTTTGTATGATTGCCGGTGCTGCAGTTACTTTAGCGATTGATTTATGATTTTTAGCAGCTACCTGTTCTTCTTTGGGAGGTTTCCGATCTTTGGGCACAGGACTACCAGATTTTGGCATGAGCGTTGAATAATAAGATGGCGATTTTGGAATTTTATTTTTATCAGTTTTCGTCTTTTGAGCACCGATTATTGTTTTGTTTTGTATGGTCGCGCGTGTGACACTCACTTGAATGTTTGGTTGTAAAAGTGAGTTATCTCCCTTGTGTGGGATTTTCCCCTTGAGTTCACCACCTCTTGCGTATTTGACAGCAGCAGCAAATTGTTGTGGCTGTAGTAGTGTATACTCGTTGTACCATAGTACGACCAATCCGGACGATAATATTGCTAATGATATAAGCATCTTTTGGTACTTCGTAAGACCGTTCATTCTGGAAAATACAAAGATAAGAATTGTGTATATATTATACCAAAATAAAAAATATTTGTTAATTAGCCACCTGGTGTTCCAGAAAGAAGCAGCCCTCGTTTAGTGCAGTAACGGTTCATTGTAATAATAAAACGTACATTTGCAAAACTAGTTGTTCGGATGGGGCGACAAACTAAGGCTCTGTGTACACATTGGCGTACACGTAAAAGAACCATTGGCAGTTTGAATTTGACGAAGACTGTGGAAAGGTCGCTTCCTGGTCACACTGCATGACGCCACTCGGCAAACCTCAGCTGATTCCAGTACCCTACATCTAGCCTCGGCTGTACTTTCAAGTTCCCGGATTACCAACGATGTTACCCATGACGACGCCTTTAAAGAATGTTTTATCATACAAATATTTCAAAGTCTGAAGCTGTTTTTCTTTCAAGTTTATCCGATTTTCTTCAAACAAGGACAACTTTGCACTGAAAATTCTACACACGCTTCGAGCGACGCAATTTTGATAACTTCTTTTTAAAAGCGGAAGGTTTTCCTAATAAGTAAACCGGTGCCGCATCGCAATTGTATAGGCGTAGGTACACAACACTGAGATTTTGCCAGTCTTGATTAACCTTGTTGGCGCATGGCGGGGGTTCGACGATCGAATGGTTAGCGCGTGCGCGTTGCTTCATAAGGTCTGTCGTTGAGTTCACTGGCGTGGTTTCTTTTTTCCGGTTTTATGTCACAAGGAGTGGGGTCGCCTGTCCAACCTCGCAGGTTATCTCCGGTTCCTCCGGTTTCCCCCACCCACCCCTAACTGCTAAAGACACCTACGTGCAAGCGAATTTTTGAAATAAAATTGAACCATATGTTAGTCCCGAAATGACCCAGTTTGTGTCGAATGGACGGTAAACGTTGGAAGGAAAGTTAAAAGGTACGCCGACACAAATTGATTTCAACTCTGGTTGAATAACATGGGGGGTCACGGTGGCTAAGTGGGTAAGACGCTGGCTCGCTAGCCTGGGGGTCCGGTGTTCGATCCCTGCATAGGCCGAGAAAGTTCATTCAGATTTTCCGGCGTGTTTCCCCTTGTCAGTGATGCAGGACGGAGGGCCTGACAAGGACAGCTGTCTAGTCGTTCGGATGGGACGAAAAACCGAGGTACCGTGTACACATTGGCGTGCACGTAAAATATCCCTTGAAGAGTAGGCCGTAGTGCCGCTGTCCGGGCAAAATTTCCCTCATAGCACACTGTATGGCGTATGCCCGTCTCCATTAGTCCAGTTCGGAGCAGAACAGTAGGACGTTAAACCCCATTTCATTTCATAACATTTTGACGTATTTATGTTATATTTAATGTGTGCTCGAGCGCTGTTAATGGGGATGGGACCGAGAACAAAGTCCACGAGATTAAGCAGGCGACCTAACACGTATAAATGAGTGATAGAAACCAATCTTATTAAAATACAGATTTATATTTCGTTTTGTTTTTTATACTTTCGATGGTCTCTACTACATGAAGATCTAACCAGTTGTTTTGGGCGGTCGCGTCTTTTGACCCTTTGACGTCAGACATTTGATTAATCAATCAGGATTGACGTTTCTAGTGGATTACCCACAGTTCCGTGCACCACACGCCAAAAGCTCACCGTAACAGGCGTTTCATTGGCTAATCCTTCACATCATCCATAACACGTCAATGATAACAACTCTTCCAGATCCTATAGTGTAGTAAAGACAAATAAAACGAAATTTTGAACTACAAAAAACGAAACGAAATAGGATCCGTGTTTTAACCAGATTGGATAGAAACTATATTACGCTTGCATCGCTCACAAACCTGATATAGATCACTTAAGCCACCCAACCTCCATTCTACCAATTAGAGAGAGAGAGAGAAATGGAGTTTAACGTCCACTCGACACAAACTAGGTCATTTCGGGACTAACATATGGTTTAATTTTATTTACATAATTCGCTTGCGCATAGGGGTCTTTAGCAGTGGGAGGAAACCGGAGGACCCGGAGAAAACCCACGAGGTTGGACAGGCGACCCTACTCCTTGCCACGTACAACCGGGGATTCGAAACCACGCCAGTCGACTCAATGACAGACTTTATGGTACAGCGCGCGCACGCTAACCATTCAGCCATCCAACCCCCCTCTACCAATTAGAAAAAAGGTGTTCTAGAAATACAATCGCAGAGTCTGTGCCAGGCTTTAAAGCCAATAACTCTTTCAAGTCTTTCCCAAATTTTTAGTCCGCAGTTTTATTAAACATAGGTTGTCAGGCAACGAAATATAAGCCAACAGCAGCAAAGCCACCCGAGCTGTCCTCTAACGTTGTCGCATTGTAAATCAAAATAAAATCGTTTAATATCCTTGGCCGAAATTATTGACTTCTTCGTTTCACTAATCTGAACAATCTGATTAAATCACAGATCCTATTTCGTTTCGTTTTTTATAGTACAAAATTTCGATTTATTTGTCTGTTCTACACTAGGATCCGGAAGAGTTGTTATATAACCTGCGTTCTGGATGGCGTGAGAGATTAGCCAATGAAACCATATGTTACGGCGACTTCTTGGCGTGCGATGAACGGAACTGTGGGTAAACCACAAGAAACGTCAACGCTGATTGATTATTCAATGTCTTACGTCATAGGTCAAAAGCCATTCGGACGATCTCTGACGCGACCTATTACTACAACCCGTCAGATCTTCATGTAGTGTAGGCCATTGAAAGTATAAAAAAACGAAACGAAATATAGATCTGTATTTTAATCAGATTAAAATCTGAACAAACCAAGTATATATCAAGCTATCTAATCGGATGCTAACTTTTGTCGATAGCGTGTTGACAAGATTCTAAAAACTAACCAAGAGAAATAACTTTGGGTGATAAGAGTTACATGGGACATTGTGAATGACAGACCAACGGACCGACTGGGGCGACGATAATATACGTTCACATATTTTCAATGCGGGAAATTAAAAACAAAAAGTAAAAAGTAAAATATTTTTAATATGAATAACCAAATGTTGTAACAAAATTATGTTTTAAATAAGATATACACAAGTATAATGATAATCAGTAACCATATATATATATATGTCTAATAATAACCATACACCATATGGTTATTATTAGACCATACGCCATATAGTTAAATATAGAAAAACAATGTTTAGATATATACACTTTATGTGATAAACAAAAATCATATGGTTATATATAGCAAAACAATGTTTAGATATATACACTTGTATGTGATAAATAATAACAATTTGCGATAACAAAAACATGTTTTTATATATACATGATAAACAATAACCATCCGCCATAAAAAAAAAACAAGTTTATGTACTCATGCTTATGACAGAAAATGTTAAGTCTACAATTGTTTGATTTAATATAATGGAATGTGTAAAATTGAATGGAATGTGTAAAATTGAACGGAATGTACAATGTTATTTGGTTTTACTATAATGGAATTTGTAAAACTGAATGGAATGTTTAAACCTGAATGCAAAGTGTGTAAAATTGTATGGAATATGCAATGTAATGTTTCGTTTGAATTTATAATGAAATGTGTAAAATTGAATGGAATATGTAATGTTGTATCATTTAAATTTATAATGGAATGTGAAAAATTGAATGGAATGTTGTATGATGTAAAATAATAATAATAGATATTTTATTGGAATGATATGAAATGTGTCATGTCGAATGCTGTTTAGTTTCAACCTTACGTTATTTAATTTCATTTTTATTGAATGTGAAAAAAAATCTAATGTTGTTTAATTTCAATAAAATGGAAAGTGTTAAGTCTGTTGTTTAATTTCAATTTTATTGAATGTGTAAAATTTATTGTTGTTTAATTCTAAGTTTATTGAATTTGTAAAATCTAATGTTGTTTGATTCTAACGTTATTGAATTTGTAAAATCTAATAATATTTAATTTTAATTTATAACGATTCAGTTGTTTTTTATACTTTCGATGGTCTCTACTACATTTCTAAATTTTGATTAAATTGCATCAGAAGTTGTTATTGAAAGTAAAGGTTTCAAGTTTAGTAATGGTAATGTTTGTCATGCCCAATATAAAAATAAACATAGAGCTACCATGTAAGTAACGATTGTACCCCTATACATTGCCGCCGGATTTACTTAAATGCTTAGCGGGCGTCAGGGAACATGTGTGTGGGGGGGGGGGGGCGGGGGTGGTCTCTTGCCAATGCGTATAAGCAAGCATTTCTTACTAGCAATCCCAACGATGAAAAAAAAAACATCTTAAAAATTCTTGAAAGACTCGGCATTTCGATACAGGTCCTCTTTTGGGATAAGCTATATAAACACAGTAAGTTTGTGGTTAAACTATGGCTATACAAATTGATTTTATCTCAAACCTTGACCACTAATATGATTCTAATATAGTGTATAACTAACCCCCATCGCCCCTCCCTACCAAATATCATTAATGTTAATGTTTGGTCAAATCGAGAACCGTTTTCTCCCAAATCAAAGAGACCAAAATATATATTTTTTTTGTTCAGAGATTGTCACTTATGATTGAATCGATTTTATTTTGGAGCGGTTGGGGGGGGGGGGGTGTAATCTATTAGTGATTTGGTTTTACATAATTAGAAAATGTCTTGGTGAATCAAAAAGACCCCCCCCCCCCCCACACTTTCTCATCAAAGTACATAGACCACCAATAGTTTATGTCCTACGTCAAGAGTAAACTTTCGATATTGCGTTAGTGAGCGGCGTTTTCGTTGTGGAGAGAGCGACTTCACCTCTTGTCCCGCAAACTGATACGTTGAATTTAATATAGTTTTCAACATGGCGGCTCGAACACTAAAATTACTCGGGCTGATGACCAAAACGTCACAACTTGACAAAATAATTTGGTCTAAGATAGTAGTTTCAAATCCTAGACACGCCTCTTTATTCCAGCGTTGTCTGTCTATATGGATTATTTTCCCGCCAGTATCAAAATATCTTGGACCAAAAGTTTTCCTGGCAGAAACACGAACTTCTTCATTATCCGTAGCAATAAATATTTTACTGGAATTTTCAAAAGTATGTAAAAATGTCCACAATTTGTCAATGCTGGAAATATTAATACGGGGCGGGTCGTTTGGTAAATTTTTACTTTTACCAATTCTAAGATGAGCACACACTAACTGATGAGTACGATTGTTCAAGTCTTCATTTCCTGACATTTGCTTTAGATGTTCGATAATATGTTGTGATGGTTTCATGAGATGTTTCCAAACCCGTCTGAAAACAATGGCTCGGGAAACACCATGAACATATTTGGGCATTTGGTTCGGATACATTTTTTTTAAATGCATAACTGCGTCTGCATTTATTTTAATTTTAATCACATCTTCGTTGTTCGTTCCGTTATGGTCCAATCTGGGCGGTCCGGCGCCCATGGCGTCGATTGTTTTAGTTGTTCGGTTAACTAATTCTTGAGGTGGGATTATCCAGTTCGTTTGGTTTGGTTCTATAAACCTCCTAACGTCACACGGTGACGTCATTTCTATGCCAAATGTTCTGTTGTAGGCTAAAGACATTAAATAAACAGTTACAATTCCACGCTGTCTATCCCCCCAACCTCCACACCACCGACTATTATCACACAAATAAATCAGATATTTCTTCCTTTGATTTGTTTGATTTGTAGCCTCTTTGTTTTGTATAATTGCCGGTGCTGCAGTCGCGTTAATGATTGGTTTATGATTTTTAGCAGCTATCTGTTCTCCTTTGGGAAGCTTCCGATCTTTAGGCACAGGGCTACCAGATTTGGGCATGGGCGTTGAATAATATTTCGATTTTCGAATTGTATTTTTATTTGTTTGATTTGTAGACACAACTTTCCCAGATGTGTCACCAAGTGGCTTTTTGGATTGTATGATTGCAGGAACTGCAGTCGCTTTAGTGGTTGGTAGTGACGATGAATTCGCGTTGGAAGAGGAGTTCTCTCCCATTAGCGAGTCATCTCCCTTGAGTTCAACATATCCTATCGATTTAAAAGCAACAGCCAGTCGTTGTGGTTGTAATATCACATACTCGTTGTACCATAAAAAGATAAATCCGGTCGATAATACTGCTAATAATATAAGCATCCTTTGGTTTTTCGTAAAGCTGCTCATTCTGAAAATAACGAAGATGAGATATAAACATGTACACTCCTACCCCGCCCCACACCCCGCCAAGTTTCCCGGACGAGAACGCCCATAATGCATTGTGCACGACACCCGTCATTTCATAGACTGACTGAAAGTTAAAAAAAAGTCGGGGGTTGGATGGCTGAATGGTTAGCGCATCAACTGGCGTGGTTTCGATTCCCCGGTTGTACGTGACAAGGAGTAGGGTCGCCTGGGCAACCTCGTGGTTTCCCCCCATTGCTAAAGACCCCTACGCCCAAACGAATTATGGAAATAAATTTGAACCATGTGTTGGTCCCGAAATGACCTAGTTTGTGTCGAGTGCACGTTAAACCCCATCTCTCTCTCTCTCTCTCTCTCTCTCTCTCTCCCACAAGCCCAAGTCATTGTTTTAAAATCACAAAAGAATTAAAACATTAATGTTTGTATTTTTCTTTCAAAGATCTCGTCTTCATTAGCCCAGTCGGAGCAGAACATCTCAGTTCGGGTTACGGTGGCTAAGTCGGCAAGACGCTGGCTTGATCCATGCATTGGCCGAGAAAGTTCATCCAGATTTTCCGGCGTCGTCCCCCCTTGTCAGTGATGCAGGATGGGGGCCTGAAAAGGACAGCTGTCTAGTCGTTCGGGTGGGATGAAATCCCGACCTCCGTGTACACATTGGCGTGCACGTAAAAGATCCCTTGACAGTTTGAATTTAAGTAGGGCATAGCGGCGCTGTCCGGGCAAAATTTCCCTCATAGCACACTGTATGGCATATCCCCGTCTTCATTAGCCCAGTTCGGCGCATAACAGTAGGACGTTAAACCCCATTTCATTTCATTTCATTAAAGAGCAATTATTCAGGAAATACTCCACATCGTATTTGAACATTTTCTGGGGAAGCCTCCCTATCCCCTCATCCCTCTACCCGTGCCCCCCCCCCCCGACCCTTCTGGACATCATGGAGACGCCACAGGAATTGTGAGAGAGTAACAATAACTGCTTTCCTTTGTTTGTGTAACTTCCCGATATCTTCTGGGAAAGCCTCCTTATCTCCCCATCCAACTACCTTCTGGACATCATGGAGCCGCCAAGGGAATTATGTGAGCGCAGTATCGACTATCTCGGTCTGTAACAATAACTGCTTTCCTTTATTTGCGTCACTTCCCGATTCTTTAAATCTTGGTTAGTAAACAGCAACAATGTCCATGAGTAGGCGGAAATGCTGCCGTCCGAGGGGTTCGCTTATCGCTCGTTTTAGGCCTATCCCGGTTGGTGCAGAAAAGTGGGACGTTAAACCCGGTTTCATTCATTTATTCGGCTTGATCGAGAAGAATTCCAACCACGTGGGTTTTCTCCGGGTCCTCCGGTTTCCTCCCACTGCTAAAGACCCCTACGCGCAAGCGAATTATTGAAATAAAATTGAACCATGTGTTAGTCCCGAAATGACCTAATTTGTGTTGAGTGGACGTTAAACCACATCTCTCTCCCAGAGAGAGAGAGAGAGAAGAAGAAGAAGAAGACGAAGAAGAAGAAGAATTGTGTAGCCTTATATGAGATGGAGTATGGGGTTAAAGGTTACAGGGGCCTGTTTCACGAAATTCAATTAAAGTTAAAATCCAATTTTTAGTAATTTGATTGGATAATATTAGATTGAATTTAGTGCTTAGCCAATCAAAATTGAAGTATCTACTAAAATTTGAATTTTATCTTTAACTAAGATTTCGAGAAAAAAGACCCAGGCCAGATTGTGTATCTGCAAAAATGTCGGTAAGCCCGCACAAACTTTTGTAAATAACAAGTATAATTACCTTGTAAGTGATACGTTCGTCTGTCTAACCTCGTGGAATTTAGCCCTGTGAGTGCTCTCAAATTTCCTCTGACCTTGTTAGTGTTGGGTGGACGTTAACCCCATCGCCCGATCTCTTCTCAGACCTTGCCGCGTACCTTCGTGTAGAATTTTTGACTAGATAGTGTTGGGTCCACGTTAACCCCATCACCCGCTCTCATCCCAGGCCTTGCCGCGTACCTTCGTGTAGAATTTTTGACTAGATAGTGTTGGGTCCACGTTAACCCCATCGCCCGCTCTCATCCCAGGCCTTGTCGTGTACCTTCGTGTAGAATTTTTGACTAGATAGTGTTGGGTCCACGTTAACCCCATCCCCCGCTCTCATACCAGGCCTTGCCGTGTACCTTCGTGTAGAATTTTTGACTAGATAGTGTTGGGTCCACGTTAACCCCATCACCCGCTCTCATACCAGGCCTTGCCGTGTACCTTCGTCTAGAATTTTTGACTAGATAACCCGTCCGACCCTTTAAGAGGTATAATTACTCTCAAAAGTAAAATAAATGCAATTAATTTTGTATAATGCCATTCAAAATACCCAAGTCCCACATTTTCCTACTTTTTTGCACCCACCGGGATAATGAAGATGGGCATACGCCATGTAGTGTGCTATTAGGGAAATGTTGCCCGGGCAGAGGCACCACGGCTTACTCTTCGTCAAATTCCAACTGGCAGAGGTTCTTACGTAAGTGAACTCAAGACATGGGCTTTTCGTCCCATCTGAACGACTAGACACTGTTCCTTGTCAGGCCCTCCGCAAGCAAAATCTATGCACTCTCTCTGCCACTGTCATGGCTCCAAGCACTGACCAAAGAGCTAACGTCTGTAGTGATGGGGGGGGGGGTGATGGCCGAATGGTTAGCGCGTGCGCTATATCATAAGGTCTGTCATTGCGTCTACTGGCGTGGTTTCGATTCCCCGATTGTGTATGACGATGAGTAGGGTCGTTTGTCCAATCTCGTGGGTTTTATCCGTTTCCTCCCACTGCTAAAGACCGCTACGCGCAAGCGAATTATTGAAATAATTAGTTCCGAAATAATTAGTTTGTGTCCAGTGGACATTAAACCCAGTTCTCTCTCTCTCTCTCTCTCTTTCTCTCTCTCTCTCTCTCTCTCTCTTTCTCTCTCTCATTATCAAATAAACGTTTGAAAACCCCTACTTTTTAAACTAGTTGGCCACGAAAATTTCATGATATTATCGACGACAAAATTAATATGAATATCCAGCTATTAGTATGATTTAGAAAACTGATTAATAACAACAAATTATTTCTACTCAAAACATTTTTCCCCACTTTAAGCCTTCATAGGGCCATTCCATGTCAAGTCGGTCAGAGGTGGGAAAATTAAAGTAGATTATACAGGAACATAAGAAAACTATGGTATTTATTTATGAAACAGCACGTAAAAATCAACACAATAATACAGAGTACATCAATGGGCAACCTAATAAAGACAGATCCTATTCCGTTTCGTTTTTTATAGTTCAAAATGTCGTTTTACTTGTCTTTACTACAATAGGATCTGATAAAGTTGTTATAAAACCCGCGTTCTGGTTGATGTGGGGGATTAGCCAATGAAATGATCTGTTACAACGAGTTGTTTGGCTTGAGTTGGACGGAACTGTGGGTGACCCGCTGCTCACCCACTAGAAACATCAACGCTGATTGGTTAATCAAATGCCTGACGTCATAGGGTCAAAAGACGCTCGTATGATCTCTGAAACGAAATATAGATCTGTATTTTAATCAGATTGGTGAATGTGAGACATTTATGGAATTGTCATCTGGGCAACGGGAGAGAAAGAGAGACAGAAATGGGGTTTAACGTTCACTCGACACAAACTAGGTCATTTCGGGACTAACATATGCGTGTAGGGGTCTTTGGCAGTGGGGGGAAACCGGAAGACCCGGAGAAAACTTTGCTTGGTAATATGTGGTGTGTTATCGTTTGTATATCTGTGTTGTATTGGTGTAATGTGTGCTTTGCTGGGTAGTATGTGTTGTGCTGTTTTATATGTTTGTGTTGGTGTAATGTGTACTTTGCTGGGTAATATGTGTTGTACTGTTTTTGATGTTTGTGTTTTATTGGTGTAATGTGTACTTTGCTGGGTAATATGTGTTGTGTTGTCCTTTGTATAAAGGCTTACTCTAAACAGAAAATGCGCATCTTCAAACTCTGTCAAGGCATTGGCCTAATAAACACCTACACCAAGTTTGAAGATTCTAGCTCAATTAGAAGGAGAGTTATTGTGTTCTAAGTTCTCGACCAACCAAATTGCTTATCGCTCTGCTTACCCTGAGCAGAAAATGCTCATTATCGAACTTAGTCAAGGTCTTGATGTAATGAAACTATAGACCAAATTTCATCACTCTCACTTAATTAGGACTAAGTTATCGTGTCCCAAAGCATCAATCAATCAAATTGCTTATCTCTGCTTACCCTAAGCCGAAAATGCTCATCTTCGAACTCCATCAAGGCATTGGCATAATAAACACCTACACAAAGTTTGAACATTGTAGCTCAATTAGAAAGAGAGTTATTGTGACCCAAAAAGTGTGACGGACAGACGGACGGACAGACAGGCGCATTTTAATAGTCCCATGCTTTCTTCGAAAGGCGGGGGACAATAAAATAAAGTATGAACAATCCAAACCGTAATAACAGTTCAGGCAAAAAAGTGTAATCAATAAGCAAATGGGCTGTTCATCGTGTACGGAAGAGTAAGTTTACCCTGCATGGCGCCACACATAGCTACATCCAAACCATTAGACGAAATCTCGGTAAAATAGCGTAATTAGCCAACGGACTTTCCGTGTGCATAATGTACATGATGAACAGTGTAATAGATGTTGATATAGTCAGTACAATAGTTTACACATCAATTAAATATATCTAGAATAATAGCCGAAATAGACATGTTATGTTTACTTTTCTGTTTGAATGGCATTAAAATTTAGTAATTGAACATATTATTTTCCGGTACGATGAATTTCGAGAAATGTTTTTGGAGAACTGTTTTAAGAGAAATTTTTTGTAGATTTGCATTTGGAGATTTATATTTAGAAATTTGTTGATCGAGATTTGTTTTTCGTTGTATTTCTCTGATGAAATGTATATGTCGGCTAATTTTTTGATTTTCTACAATAAATTTTGTCTTTATAATAAAATCAAATTAAATTAAACAAAAATACAGTTTACAAATCTGATATGATAAATGTATGATTTTTAAAACAAATACAGATTTTAAGATACAAATGTTAATTTTAGTGACGAAATAAGAATTAAGGACTATGAATTAAGAACTAAGAATTAAGAATGCTGAATAAAGAGCTGTTTGGTCTTCCATAGTTATCTACACAATACAATACAATACAATACAATGGATAACTGATATCCATAGAACCGTTGTGTTTATTTTATATTTACTAATCAAGTCAATATGACGGCCATGAAACTTTTTAAAAAAAAAAAAAAATTTGGGGGGGGGGGGGGAAATTCCGTGAGTGTTTATCATTAAAAATTGAACCCAATACCAAATTATTACATATAAAATGTCGATGGAAAATTAAACTACTATTCATTCTTCATTTTTAAACAAAAACTAATATATACATACGATTCGGGATTCTTGGATTGAGGATTTTCCATTTTGTTGATCAGATCTACACAAATTAAACACTACAATTCTTCGTTAGATCCAAGTTTAATAATACAATCCTTCGTTAGATCCAATTTTAACACTACAATCCTTCGCTAGATCTAATTTTAACACTACATACAATCCTTCGTTAGATCTGATTTTAACACTACAAGCCTTCGCTAGATCCAATTTTTTTAAAACTACAATCCTTCGCTAGATCCAATTTCAACACTAAATCACTAAATTTTAAACCCTACTAGCTACAAGATCCAATATTAACTCCGGGACTGGTCGTTCCCTATAGTGTTTTATCTCTTAGTAACTTATTTACATCCCCACTAGCTACAAGATCAGATTTTAGATCCAGTATATATTATTAACTATAGTGTTTTTTCTAAGTCATGTATTTACTCCTATACTAGATACAGTAATCCAACTTTAACTTCCATGACAAATCTAAGTCGCTTATTTACACCTCCAATACCGGCAAGATCCAATTTAAATTCCAGAGAGCACAGTATTTAACATAATCCCTTAATCTCCGCGTTGGCTTCTCGTCAGACAGATTCGATCACAGTTTGAATTGAGGTTTAATTAGTGACGTAACTATGGTCAACGTCATATGTAAACAGGTGCTTTGTGTTAATCCGTGGACACTAATTGATAAGCAGTAATTGTATTCTATGTAACTACTTGTCTGCGATATCACCTCGGTGGAAGCGGACGTAAAATACAACTAACTACTACACTCTATGTAACTCCTGGTTAATTACTATTTGTCATTGAAACAGCTATATGTTATGGTTACCTCAGAATTTAAGTTGTCAGCTTCTAATGGGTATATCTGATCACACGCCAGGTTATACTAAACCATCATGAACCATTTCGATTGCAATTACTTTTTTCATTCCACACTTTTAGTTGTCAGATTGTAAGGGTATATCTAAACTCACACACATCACAAACCACTTCGATTGCAGTTACTTTTTCAATTCGAAACTTTTAGTTGTCAGGTTGTAATGGATATATCTAATCACACATCATAAACCACTTCGATTGCAGTTACTTTTTCAATTCGAAAATTTTAGTTGTCAGGTTGTAATGGATATATCTAATCACACATTATAAACCACTTCGATTGCAGTCACGATTCGACACTTTTAGTTGTGCTGCGTTATTTTATATTTGATTTCTCGCACCTTGTGGCCTCGGTCAGTACATGTCAATAAAGGTGGGCTTGGTTAGTTTATGTTCGCTCCAGGTAACTATTTAGTCTTGGTTAATGATCAGGAACAACTACGGGTCATCTAAACCGTCTATTGTAACCGTCTATTCAGCAGTGGGAGAACACCGGAGGACCCGGATAAAACCCACGAGGTTGGACAGGCAACCCTACTCCTTGTCACGTACAATCGGGGATTCGAAACCACGCCAGTTAACTCAATGACAGGCCTTATAATACAGCGCGCACATGCTAACCATTCGGCCATCCAACCCCCAGATTGAAGCGAACGTAAAGCCTATTAAAGTATTAATAGTTGTGTGTTTTTTATAAGATACAATATACCCTAGTAACAAATATATAACAACCTTTATAATAACTGTTTTACAAAGTGCATTAATTTAATTTAATAAGCAAATTGTTTCTATATTACTTATTGTTGACTGATATTGTAATATATATATATACGCATGAACATCCACTCGCCAAAAGTAGGTCATTTCGGGACTAACATATGTTTTTTAACATTTTATTTCAATAATTTGCTTGCGCGTAGGGGTCTTTAGCAGTGGGAGGAAACCGGAGGAACCGGAGAAAAACCACGAGGTTCGACGGGCGACCCTCTCTCTCTCCCCCCCTCCCTCTCTGTACAGTGTGTTGTTATAAAGCTAATCTCGCGTCTCACTATGAGTATTGTGTTACAAAGGCTAATTACACCGCTTGTCTAACAGTAATTACATTTTATATTTAATTAACCCATACAGATTAATTAGCCTCTCAATTAATTAAGTGTCGTATTGTGTTCAATAAATTACACAGTCTGGCAGGGGAATATTATAAAATTGAAATGACATAAAATGGGGTTTAATGTCCTATTGTTCTGCTCCTAAACTGGGCTAATGACGACGGGCATACAGTGTGCTATGAGGGAAATTTTGTCCGGACAGCGGCACTACGGCCTATTCTTATATCGAGTTCCAACTGTCAAGAGATCTTTTACGTGCACGCCATTGGGTACACGGGGCCTCGGTTTTTTGTTCCAGCCGAACGACTAGACAGCTGTCCTTGTCAAGCCCTCCGTCCTGCATCACTGACAAGGGCGAACCACGCCGGAAAATATGAATGAACTTCTCGGTCAATGCAGGGATCGAACACCCGACCTCCAGGCTAGCGAGCCAGCCTCTTACCCACTTAGCCACCGTGACCCCCGATTAAATAAGTGGTTGAATCTAATAATTTGATATCTGATTGTCAGAATGGTTTCAGGAAACATCAAGGATAATGTTCAGAACATAATTAACGATAGTAAAATCAAGCATAGTATGTTATGTCGACTTCAAAGCTGCATTTGACAGTCTGACTCATCCTTTTTTGTGGTATAAATTTCAGGGTATTGGTATAATGTGTAAAGATACTTGAGGTTCTTAAATCATTGTATAAAAATACAAAATATGCTGTCCGGGTTAATAACCAACTCACGCCCGGTTAAGTAATCAAGTCAGAGAGAGAGAGAGAGAGAGAGGGGGGAGAGGGAGAGAGAGAGAGATGGGGTTTAACGTCCACTCGACACAGACAAGGTCATTTCGGGAGTAACATATGGTTCAATTTTATTTCAATATTTCGCTTGCGCGTAGGGGTCTTTAGCAGTGGGAGGAAACCGGGGGACCCGGAGAAAACCCACGAGGTTGGACAGGCGACCCTACTCCTATTCAATCCGGTCACGTATAAAACAAGGCTGTTTGATATCACCAATATTACTATTGAAGACTTTCTCATATTTATGTCGGGGGAGGGTTAACGCTTGTGCGTTGAAAAAGAAGGTCTGTCATTGAGATTTATTTTGCGTGCAACTCCCTACCCCCACCCAAAAGAAAACGCAGTATCATGGCGCGAATAGTAATAGTGGGAACCTAGCATTAAAATCGTTGTATTAATTCTATTTCTAACGTCACACCTCACTGGTTTGCACGAAGTTTTAATAATCAGATCTATTATGCTCCCTAAGGCCGGGGGGTTGAATGGCTGAATGGTTAGCGTCGACTGGCGTGGTTTCGAATCCCCGATTGTACGTGACAAGGAAGAGGGTCGCCTGTCCAACCTCGTGGGTTTTCTCCGGGTCCTCCGGTTTCCTCCCACTGCTAAAGACCCCTATGCGCAAGCGAATTATTGAAATAAAATTAAACCATATGTTAGTCCCGAAATGACCTAGTTTGTGTTGAGTGGACGTTAAACCCCCATTTCTCTCTCTCCTTAACGCCGTCACATGTGTAAAAATAAAATAGATATTTGAGTAACGTCCTTGCTGAATTCGTATGTCAATAATAAAATGTACTATAAAGAAGACGGTGTGTGAAATTGTATACGATAAATATATGTAATTCAGTATTTATATATTTGCGTCATATAGCCTGACTTAGGTGGCTGACTTGCATTCAAATCAAACAGTCGTATACAGTTCAAGCAGGTGAGGCCGTCGGGAGAAAACTCTGCAAATGTAACTGCAACTGCTCCCCTCGCACCCGGGCCAGTACGTCTGACAAACCTAGTAGGTTTTCCCTGGGTCCTCCAGTTTCCTCCCACTGCTAAAGACCCCTACACGCAGGCCAATTATTGTAATACAATGAACCCATACGCGCATCGAATTATTGAAATAAAATTGAATCATGTGTTAGTCCCGAAATGACATAGTTTGTGTCGAGTGAACGTTAAGCCCCCCTCTCTCTCTCTCTCTCTCTCTCTCTCTCTCTCTTTTGGATGGATTTAGCGCTTTACAAATGTGCATTATTATTATTATTACAGGGGTCGAATTAAGCTTGCATGGGGCCGCCTCTGGCTTACAGCGACAGAGAAAAGGGGGACATATTTTAGTCATTGTCCATTAGACTCAAACAAATGTAATTTGTAGGTCCATATGATAGATAGACTATTTATTTGGTTTTAGCACAAACATTTACAACATAATAAATAAAGCCATAAACTAATTTAAGGGGCCCCTAGCTGCAACCCGATTAGCCCCCCCCCCCCTCTCCCCACGTTAATCCGGGCCCGTCAAGTAATACATGATACTAGTAATTTGAGGATGATAATATACTTTGGAGGTATGAAACGGGGTTTAACGTCCTACTTTTCTGCTCCGAACTGGGCTAATGAAGACGGGAATACGCCATACAGTGTGGAATGAGATCTTTTGTGTTCACGCCAATGTGTACACGGGACCTCGGGTTTTCGTCCCATCCGAACGACTAGACAGCTGTCCTTGTCAGGTCCTCCATCCTGCATCACTGACAAAGGGAAACCACGCCGGTATATCTGGATGAACTTTCTCGGTCAATTGCAGGGATCGAACACCCGACCTCCAGGCTAGCGAACCAGCGTGTTACCCATTTAGCCACCGTGATCCCCATTGCAGACAAGACAGAGAGAGAGAGAAATGGGGTTTAACGACCACTCGACACAAACCAGGTCATTTCGGGACTAACATATGGTTCAATTTTATTTCCATAATTCGCTTGCGCGTAGGGGTCTTTAGCAGTGGGAGGATAGGCGACCCTATTCCTTGTCACGTACAGCCGGGGATTCGAAACCACGCCAGTTGACTCAATGACAGACTTTATGATACAGCACGCACGTGCTAACCATTCATCCCCCCCCATTGCAAACAAATACATATGCATGTAAATACGATGATTCAACACGAACCGGTCTGACCCCATGTTCGTTGTATACTTATTAAAATAAAATATAAAATTCTTTTGTCGTTTTGGAGGTTAAAATCGACAATTTTTACCAGTCTTCCATAGAATGTTGTGTCCATTGTGATGAAAATAAATTGACACTGGGGTTACGCAATATCTGTTTACACATCATAAATTTATGGATATATATGTCTCTTAAAGTAGCTAAGTCTCTAACCCAATTTCATCCAAAGTCTTTGACATTTAAAACACGAATTATTTGTCAATTTATATCAACATTGATGACATGATCTTACCGGGAAAGGATGGGCTTCTGATATCCAATATTTAAGACAAAATAAACATTGTACCATTGGTACACCAATCGGGTACTATAATGCGTTTCAGCGCCATTTGCAAGGGACTCGAAGAACGAGACTAGATATATTCAACAAGTCATGTCAAACGGTGGCGCCATATTCTTATCTGGAGAGCATCGGTGTAGGCTGGAATAACAGACGCTCGAGATTGCCATTCGATTGAGACTACTGGCGTGTTTTATCGAATATAACTGATTAGAAATACATTCATATTACATTATTTTATGGGTTGCGACCCATTTGTGTCAATTTCTAGGTCTCAAATTTTAGCGATTTAGCTACTTTAAATAGTTGATATGAGGATCCCACATTTAAATTCGTGTTATTGATGTTTATAATTTCGAATATTATTATGGGTAATAAAATATTGAGTTAGGGTTTTCGCTTTATGTCACTGTGACATTTTGTTAAATAGGGTGTTACAGGGTACATCTATAATCTCTTTGTTATCTAGCACGCACTACATGACAGGGCGGTTTATGTTACACAATATCTCCCATTACCGCCCAAATTCTGCGAAAAACATAATCATACAAAAAAGGGCAAGAGTGCAAAAGGGGCAGTTTATTTGAAATTCGAGTACCGATGTTTCGCTGTTTGATTTGCCTCTCTTTATGACCCAAAACAATCAAATGCTAACCCAATAACAACCTGCTCTCGTCAAACAGCATCACCCCCGTGTAATAACTGTAAAGAATATTCCATAATTTGCAGAAAGTTTAAATATTCACGCCATGTCATGCCGCTGCATTTATCGCCCTTTACAGCCAATAATAGATTTTCGATTGCTAATCAGATTAATGAATGATCTTGTTGGACTTTGCAGTTGGTTTCCAAGACGACGAAGTTAAAATAAGAAAACAAGTGTTTTGTGTATGTTTTCTCACGAAATAACTAAATATTTTTGAAAAAATTTAGTAATATTCCCTTTTTGCATCATTACGTTGTAGTATTGGTAAATCGACCCGTCCTGTACTAATCCCTTTTTGCTTTATTATCAAAAACACACTTTTATGGATAACAATTACTATGGTTTATTTCACTGCGACGTTTCAACAAGGTTTCACAAGTCGTTATCAAGCATATATACAAATAGATAAAAAATGAGAAAGATATGAATATAAATACAAACATCAGTGCGAACTATCCAATGGAATGCAAGGTGAGTGAGCATGATTAGCTATAACAAGCTATTGATGTAACAAAGGTGCATAATCGTATATATTAGAGTTGGCTTATTGTACAATTAAAAGATGAAACAGGGGATTAACCAAGATTAACAAATATTGAAACCATACACAGTGCACCATAACTGAAACCAGTATATACTAAGATTACTAAATAAACATACAAGAAGATCAAACTTGGGGTTTATAGAATTATATCGAAACCATAATGTTTACATTAATTATAACAGTTAAGAAATATAGAATTTTACGGTTATGTTTTAAAGTTAAGTAATAAGTTGCATATATGTATTTACAAGGTGAATATATATCAAAGGGTTGAATAAAATATAAATAAATAATGATAAATTAAGCAGAAGACCTATGATGAAACCTTTTTATAATTATAAATATGAGAGGTATAACATAACATAAAATACTGTGAATAGCTAAATAAAATTTTACATATTGTTAACAGAGGATTATAAAATGTGAGGGTTGTGGGTATGGAATATACAATGAATTCGGTATTGGAAAATGCCAGTAGCTAAATATGGTTTTGCATGGGGAATTACTTAGGGGGACTGTATTACAATTTGATAATGCGGTCATATGCTCTGGGGATATAGACGCCTGGGTCTCGATTCAGTTTCGGTTCATGTCTTCTGATATTGATCGCCTCATGTATTCTTCTGATTCTTTTGCTGTGGTGGTTCACATCCAACGTTTTAACTTTGGTCCAATCGACACGGTGTCGTGGGTTGTCATTCAGATGTTCAGCAACTGCAGATTGGTTGGTGGGGGCTTTTGACATGTGTTCTTTCAGTCGGATATCTAATGGTCTTTTAGATTCTCCAATGTAACTTTGCTGGCAACTGCAGTTGATTTTGTAGACACAGCCTTTTGGTGAGAAGGGTTTGGTGGGGTTCAACTTTCCATTCGCTTTTGCTATGTCTTTGGTTGTTGTGCCCTTCAAGAAAGTGGTTTCAATATCTGCTTCCCTTTTCAATAATCTTCTGATTTGGTGAGAGATGTTGCCGTGGAAAGGTATGAAGATTCTAATTGGATGTTTATCGTTTTGGGGTTTATCAGGTTTTGGTAGGTCGGCAAGTGTGGCATTGATGAGCTTGTTGACCATTTGTTCTGGGTATCCGTTGTGCTGGGTGAATACTTTTTTCAAGTGTTGAATTTCTGCGGGAAGGGATTCAGGGTCACAAATATTCTTGGCTCTTTTGGTTAAAGTGGTGATAATGCCTGCTTTAGTGCTGGTGGGGTGATTAGATTGGTAGTGGATATACTGATCTGTATGTGTTGGTTTTCGGTACACTGAGGTGGTGATATTGGCGTTCTCTCTTCTTACCAGTACATCAAGAAATGGGAGGCTGCTGTTGCTTTATTATGTTGTAGTATTGGGTTCTTATTGGATAGTATTGGATAAATCGACGCGCCCTGTACTATATATCTTAGGGCAATCGGACTTGTTTGAAACTTTGGTTGATATGCAAGTGCGTGACTGCAATGATAACAATAAGCGCAAATTTACATTTTGTAAAAAAGGCGTACTCGCTATTTATCTGATTTTCACAGAATGGTGTATTAACCAGTTTCCAGGGAGCCGCGGTGATTCACCGAATGAAACTCTGGCTCGCTTACCAGCAGATATCGGTTTCCCTCACGGTGTTGGCCGACACAGTGGCCACCCATTGTCAATGGAGCAGGTCGGAGAGCCTGGTAAGGACAATGTCTAGTCGTTCTGATGGGACAAAACAACACGGTCCCGTGTACACATTATCGTGCACGTAAAAGAATAAAAGTAGGCCGTTGTCTGGGTAAAATTTCCCTCATAGCACACTGTGTAGCGCATGCCCGTCTTCATTAACCCAGTCGGTGCAGAAAAGCGGTTTTGGATGACCGAATGGTTAGCGCGTGCGCGCTACATGATACGGTCTGGTATTGAGTCACCTGGCGTGAATTTGATTCCCTGGTTGTACATGACAAGGAGTAGGGCCGCATGTCCACCCTCGTGGATTTTCTCCTGGTCCTACTGTTTCCTTCCACTGCTAAAGACACCTACGCACAAGCGAATTATTGTAATATGTAGGTGACAACCTCGTGGGTTTTCTCCAGGTCCTCCGGTTTCCTCCAACTGCTAAAGACCCTAACGCGCAAGCGAATTATTGAAATAAAATTGAACCATATGTGAGTCACGAAATAACCTAGTTTGTGTCGAATGGACGTTATCCCACCCCTCTCTCTCTCCCTCCCCCCTCTCTTTCTCTCTCTCTCTCTCTCGGTGCAGAAAAAAGAAGGAACCTAAACCTCCTCTCATTTATGTATTCATGTGCTCAGGTATATATGGGATTTCTCCTTTAAGACGAGTGGGGATGGATGGCTGAATGGTTAGCGTGCGCGCGCTGTATCATAAAGTCTGTCATTGAGTCAACTGGCGTGGTTTCGAATCCCCGGTTGTATGTGGCAAGGAGTAGGGTCGCCTGTCCAACCTCGTGGGTTTTCTCCGGGTCCTCCGGTTTCCTCCCACTGCTAAAGACCCCTACGCGCAAGCGAATTATGTAAATAAAATTAAATCATATGTTAGTCCCGAAATGACCTAGTTTGTGTCGAGTGGACGTTAAACCGCATTTCTCTCTCTCTCCTTTAAGACCGAGACTGAGATGTGTAGATGAATCGTGATAAAATAGATGATGCATTTAAAGATTTGAAAGGTGATGAATACCATCTTTGTCAAAATGACGTTACGTTCTATTGGCCATGAATACTGTACGAAAATAGAAAAATAATTAACTTATACATGGAGAACCCCCAGTTGACACCATTAATGAATTCACGAGTACGTCTGTCAAAACAGCACAAAGGTCGTTTTATTGTATCTAGGTAACATTCAAAATCATCCAACCAAAAAAGGACGAAACAAAATACATATAATTTCCACCTATCTCTAACTCTGTATTTGCATCAAATATAGCTGACAAACCTCAACCGTATGATAATAAATTCATTTAAGGGCAAGCCCTTAAGGAGTGACAAAATTTGCCATTTCTTCAATTTATCATATCCATATGACCTTATATATTATTATTCTTTATATTATTTATATTATTTATAATATCTGTTGATTGAAATTTAATATCATAACATTTAAAATGTAACAACTAATGCTCATCTCATCAAAACATACTTTTTTGAAAATATTACAAAATATTTTTTTTTTGCCAAAATGGCCTCATTTCCGGTTACTGAGATTTTTGAATTGATTTGATATAACGGAAATGACGACATGACGGATCATAATGTAAATATTTTATAGTTAAAAAAGAAGATGCTTGGAAGTGAGGTTTATCATTGATTGATAGAGGTTTCTTTTAGCTGGTTTGCCATCTAATATTACTATTACCCACGCTCATAAAGCGTTTGTGTGCTATAGTTTAGGTTTCTGTTAAAATAGGTTTGTATTGTCATTAACAGAGCCAGTAAAATAATATTAGTGATAGAAAAGAACCCTTTATTTTGGTAAACTTTTAGGATGTCATTCAGTACACACTGCACTACCAGAAACCATATAAAAAAACCTTCTTGCAATGTATTAGGGGTTAGCCCCTATTTTTCATATATCGACTGGTCTTGGCTGGTACATCTCTTTGTTTCAAGAAAAATTGCATAAATTTTTCCGTCAGAGAAACTTACAAAATGGCTGTAGCTGCAGTCAGACGGTGGTTTAATGTGGATTGGGACATGTCAAACCGAACGCAGCAAGTAGTATGGTAATCAAGGAGCATAACCCCAGAAGAAGTAGCTACCGGAAATCGTTGCAACGCGACGGACATCTATCTATGGTAAAATGCAACAAGAGCAAGATTTATTAAACATAACACAAAACGTATTATGGAATCAAGGAGTATAACCCCAAAGGTAGCTATCTGAAACCGCTGCAAATTCAACGGTCATCTCTTTGAACATAGGTCGACACAATATTGATGGTAAAATGCAGTACGGGTAGGATAAATTAAACAGAACACAAGGGGTAATATGGTAATCAGGGGGCATAACTCCGGGAGTAGTTACCGGAAACCGTTGCAAATTCGACTGACATCTGCTCTGCTCATAGACAGACACAATATCCATGGCATATAACAGCAAGGATTAGGATGTACAAGTATTATATTAAGGACATAGACAGGGGTGACGACATTATACAACCACGGGTTAAATCCCGCTTTTAATTTTTATTTTAAATCTTCAAAACATACACTTCAATATTCCTATTGTCAACAGTTATTTCGTATGAATGTGTAGTACTATTTTCAACATGGCGACGATGTCTAAAACGACTGAATGGTGAGAAGGGCTTAATTAATTCCCCATCAAACTGGTAAATATTTTCTAATACTGTTTTTAACATGGAACCACGAATACTGAAATTACTAGCGCTAATAATTAAAATATCACATTTAGTCAATGCTAATTGGTCCAAGATGGCCGTTTCGAATCCCACACAAGATTCGTTCCTGTTTCGCTGTCTGTCTATATGTAAAATTGTCCCGCCCGTATCCACAAACAAATCACCGAAACGTCTCCTGGCTGATATCCTGACGTCATCGTTGTCTGTGGCAACAAAATATTTTCGAACATTTTGAATATTTTCCATGAAGTTCCATAATATGTCGATACTTGCTATAGCCATACGAGGAGGGTCATTCGGTAGATTTTTACTGTATCCTATCCTCACGTGAGCACATACTAATTTTCCAGTATCTTTACCAGATAATAATAGATTATCCAGGCGCTTTTGTAATCGGGGCGTCGGCTTCATAAGACGTTGCCACACCTCTCGAAAAATGGCAGGCCTACTTTTTTGTAAAATCCATTTAGGCATTTTACTTCGGAAATGTTTTCGAATGGCTGGCACATTATCCATGTTTGTTTGAATGTAAAGAATATCTTCTAGTTGTTTACTTTTGCTGTCTAATTTCAGTGAACCAGAATCCACGGCGTAAACAACTTTAGATGTTTTATTTTTCAACAAATGCGGGTCAAACGACCAAAATATTTTATTAGGTTGATAAAACTGAGCAAGATCACACGGTGACGTCATAAGAATACCATATGTCCGGTTATAGGCTAATGAAAGCAAGTAAAGGGAGACGACTCCGCGCTGTCTATCTCCCCAGCCACCACACCACGCTGTATCGTCACATAAATAAACCAAATATTTCTGGTTACTATGGTGACCATTTACACTGTCAGTTGAAATATTTACTTTCAGCGTAGAATTCACTTTCGATGACGATTTAAGAACGCTTAAAACAGCACGCGTCACAGATGACGTAACTTTACCGCCACTTCTTGTAGAAGTTGAGCTGTCCTCGAGGTCAAATAGAAATGGGAATTTGTTGGATGAATTTGATATTAGGTTTCCATATTGACTAGGGTTTTCGGGATGACCCTGGAAACCTTTACTCAAAACCCTCCAATGAAAATTCTGTTTGAAATGATGAAACTCGTGATTTGATGACATCATAGACGAAAACCTTGAATGACTGTACAACAGCAAACATACTATGAACGCCGAAATGCTGATCAGAAAAAATGTCTTCCTTAGTGCTGCCTCTTTCGACAAGTGACTGAAATGGAAAATATGTAACCGTAAGTGGTTGATCGTGGCTTTCACAAATGGCTGATCATGCTAGCCGGAAAAATAAGTAATATGAACAACACCAGAGAAAGTTATTGACATCCAGTGCAAACTGTGTCCATGAATTATAATGTTGTGGTTAAAAAAAGGCATGCAAGAATTTCAAGAAAAATGCACCAACCAATGTATCCATATGAAATGGGGGTTAAACGTACTACTTTTCTGCTCCTACCGGGATTGTGAAGACGGGCATAAGGCATACAGTGTGCGATGAGGGCAATTTTGCCCGAGCAGCGACTCTATGGCCTACTCTTCTATCAAATTCCAACTGCCAAGGGATCTTTTACGTGCATGAAAAGGTATATGTGTGATCTCGGTTTTTCGCCCCATCTGAACGATTAGACAGTTGTCCTTATCAGGCCCTCCGTCCTGCACCACTGACAAGGGGGACACCACATCAGAAAATCCGGATGAACTTTCTCGGCCAATGCAAGGATCGAACACGCGACCTCCAGACAACTCTCATTATCAGGTACTCACTCCTGCACCCCTGACAAGGGGAAACCACTCTCTCTTTCAACACCGGGATCGAACCAATGACCCCCAGGTTAGCGAGCCAGCGTGTTACTCACTTAGTCACTGTGGCTCCTGTTAAACAAGCGGAAACAGTAATCGAAAGTAGAAACAAATTATAATTTGAAGTTGAATCGGTGCAGATGTCATGCCATGCTCCATGCGAGAATAAACATGCAGTTTTTAATAAAAGTTGAAAAAGATAAAATATATGGCATAATACCATGCATTTATAAAAGTATATACATGCAGTTTATAATCAGAAGAGGAAAGGTAGCCAGGCGGGAATCATCGTTAGGTCAACCTTCATCTCCATGGTACACAGTCATGTCATCAGACATATATACATAAAAACCTTTTGATTGGTCAAAGTCAGTTTCAAACTGTTCACTTTGAAAGTCTTCCGCTCTGTAACAAGGTTGCTTAGAACTCTCTCATCTCTCAGTCACTATTTGATAATAGAGATTTATATTGGTCAAAATCATTCTTTAAGACGCACGTCTCATCCCTTGAGGAAAGTCGCTATTTTGAAAGATCATATGATAGCCCGGATGACCCTTACAAATAACTAGTCTAACACACCCAGAACCTCCTTGTCTCCAATTTACGGAAGGTGTGGGTCGGATGTCCATTTTTGACGAAATTTTACTGGATAATAAAACACGTAATAAAAACAAACTCCCGGTGACGCATGAGCAATGGAACGTTTCAGTTAAAAGTCAAGAAAGAGTTACGCCCCTTCCCGAAATAAATCCTTTTAAAAGAATAAATAAAATGAAATGAAATGAAATGAAATGGGGTTTAACGTCCTACTGTTCTGCTCCTATACTGGCCTAATGAAGACGGGAATACGCCATACAGTGTGCTATGAGGAAAATTTTGCCCGGGCAGCAGCACTATGGCCTATTCTTCTATCGAATTCCAACTGCCAGGGGATCTTTTACGTGCACGCCAATGTATACACGGGTCCTCGGATTTTCGTCCAATCCGAACGACTGGACAGCTGTCTTTGCCAGACCCTCCCCTCCGTCCTGCACCACTGACAAGAAGCCACGCCGGAAAATCCCGATGAATTGTAAGAATAGACATTTTGGCACATAAGACAATCTGGGATAAGGCATGTATTCACACTTTCGGTATAAGTATACTGAATGTTGTAAATGAAAGACAAAATGGCCAACTGCCCATATAATTGATGTGTGTTAGTTTAACCATACATTCTGCAAGAGGTAAATCTGCCTATTGCAGGTCTTTCTTTAGGCCTGAAATGTTATCTAAATTATTAATTAAACATATTAACTTATGCAGACCATAATCAACTCTTGATGGCATCGGATACTCGAGATTTGAACTAGATTAGAACGGTTCGCCATTAAAAAATTTAATTTAAAAATGGGAAAGCGAGGCCAAGTCTCGAATATACCAGTGCCCTGGTTACCACAACGCACACATCTTGCCATACTACAAACAGTGATAACTTGGCTCAGAATGAAGTAATTTTAATGAAATTTTCAATATTTTCATTTTACATTATCTATTTTTGAGCTATTATAGCAAGAACGGGCAGCACTTTATCTAAATCTTACATAATGTATCTTTAAATAATTTAAGATTAACCGACTGCGAAGTCGTTAACCTGCGAGAGAACATTGGTGAACGACGTTAAGAGAATATTCAGAAAAAGACAGATTTAAGAATACGGTACTCTTACAAAACGTCCAAATAAAGGCGTTTTAAAATGTTTTATTGCTATTTTGATCTTTTGAGTCGATAGATAGTATATTTATAGACTCATTTTTGTGAAAATCTCAATTTCGATCAAAATCAATATTTTCGCTTATTTTGTCTCTTGTGCAAAAATAATTTTACCGCAATCCGACTCATTTACACGCGGCGGGTCACATATATTCCATATTATTATATATTGTAACCCTATGTATATAATATAAAGTATAATTTTAAACACCTGTGTGACCCTGTATGCATACTACTCTTATATTATTTGCTATCAATTATATCCGAAGAGAATGTAGACGTTTGAATTGCGATTGGGGTCTTTATGATGTTTACTTGGTTCTCGTATATTGTGATTGATTCTTGTGTGAAATCTACTCGCTATACAAATACAATACAATATAAACCTATAACGGTAAATCTATTTGATTTTTGTTGTATATTCTATGCCCGGAATAACTTGCGGTCTGAATATATAGAGAGGAATTTGGGGTTATTCTTCTGAAAGTTTTTCTTTAAACCTGTATCGGGTTAACCGTCCATGGTAGGTTTTTTTTACCATCAGAAAACATGATATAAGGGTGTTTTGGGTTTTGGGTTTTTTTTACCGGAATAATGGGATATTCTCATTTTACATACATGTAAACATAAACGGTTTGTAATCAAGATAAAGTCCTCGACTTCGGTTATGCTGGGGAAGACAGACTTCATACAAAACCCTCGTGCTTTATCCTATACATAATAATAGGGGATTTCATTGATTTTCAGTGTAATGTCATTAAGTATGCCACCTCTCTATCTATTTGTAACAAAATCATGCATTTTAATATCATACTAGCGGTTGACCCGGTTTAAACGGGTATACTCATGAACCGGAAGTAGCATCAATCCGAAACCGGAAGTGACAGATCTACCCCTATACGAACACAGCTCACCAAATATTTCTACGCCGTCTCCCTCCTTTTTCCTCCTTTTGCATGGCGATTTTTGTTGACTTTTTGGTGTAGAATCGAAGAAAATGGTTTAAAAATATATTTTCTGCCAGGTTTTGGTGATTATTCATGATTTTGAGGTGGAAGGATACAAGAGTTGAGAGGTTGGTTAGGTTGAAATGTAGGGTCAACAATTGCATGTTTACTTGTCTCTACTTCCAGCTTGTGTATCTCAAGTTTTCCATGGTGAACCTCATACGTGCTTTTGAGCAAGAGGTTGCCACATGTTGCTCCATCTGTGGTAGAAAGCGTTCTACCCAACGAAAATTTGGGAAAAAGTTAGAGTCGGTCTAAGAGACGAGAATTAACATAAAGTCAATAGGAAAATCATTAGTGATCTGTGGCCATACACCAAATTACAGTCTGGGGACAGCCCGAGTGTAGCCACCAAGCCTCAACAGACATACAGAAATGAAATATTAGTTGACAGGCAACAAAACATACGCCCACAGCAGCTAAGTCGTCCGAGGTGTCAACAAGAGTTGTCACATATTTTTTCTATTGTCCGTAATGAAACATTTATAATACACTAAAATCTGATTAAGAGCAACAACTGATTAAGTAATTATCATAAAATCATTAGAATTTGTTTGACTTTTAGTTCTGTTCCATGCTAATGTTTAGTATACGATTAAACTGTGAAAAATTTGATATTTTCCTAAAAATGCAAATGACTTTAGATAAGGCATGAAATCCAATCGCGCATAATACCCATATGGGGTGAGGGGCAACGTCCACTCGACACAAACTATGTCATTTCGAAATTAACACAAGGTTCAATTTTATTTCGATAATTCGCTTGCTCGTTGGGTTCTTTAGTGGGAGGAAAGCGAAGATCGAACTTGGAGAAAACCCAAAAGGTTGGACAGACGACCCTACTCCTTGTCACGTACAACCGGGGAATCGAAATCAATGAGTACACAGATTCGGATTCAAAGCCACATATTAATATCTTGTATCGTATGAATATTTATCACCTAACCTTATCAGAAAGTTGTATAAGCAAGTTCTATCTATAGCATTTAGTGAATGGTTCAGCATAATAAACGAATTCAATAGCAATATATATATACCTCCCCACCCTCTTAAGTCAAGCTACGTTACACTACAATGCGCTTCATTGAAAGCAGGGCACGTAATATTAAAAATCTTAATTGAATGTACTTATAGCCAATGGTTACTATATCCATTTTACGGCAAGTTCAAACCAATCTGTTCACTTACTTAGTTAGTTGTATTTTACGCCCGCTTCCACCGAGGTGATATCGCAGACAGTCTGATTAAAATTAATTCAGCTATTGAGGTTTAAGTATCCGAAAGCCAAAAACGGTTTTCAAATTTTCAATTACAACACTAATCCGGTTGATTGGCTGGTGACGTCACAGGCACTACACATACTATATACATTATCTATGCAATACACACCACCAGCTGACAAGTGTGTACGTGTCGGTCCAATTAACATGTGACTGGCATGGGACAAAAAACCGAAGCCCCGCGTACACATTGGCGTGCACGTAAAAGATCCCTTGACAGTTGGAATTCGATATAAAAGTAGGCCTTGGTGCCGCTGTCCGGGCAAAATTTCCCTCATAGCACACTATATGGCGTATGCCCGCCTTCATTAGCCCAGTTCGGAGCAGAACAGTAGGGCGTAAAACCCTATTTCATTTCATTTTTCCACTTGCCT